ATTTTTAATTTTCTGACTGTCGGAGGTCTTCCACGGAAGCTGCTCTCAACCTGGCGTTGGGGGCAGTCTACTACCCTACCTCCCCCTTATCCCATTGCATATGGGAATAGAGTTTTGTTGTTGTTGTTGTATAATGAGTTATCAATATGTTAAAAGATTTGAGAAGCTATATATTATATGAACAATGCTTACAACCAACGTGGAGTTGAGTTATGAAATTTCAAGAAATTATTCACTGGATTTTCAAGATACGAGACAATATTTACTGATGCATTTAAAAGCTTTTTGAGCAGTGAGAGCAAAACAACCCAAAGTCATACTCCTATGATTGTGATTTTATTTGACTTTACAAGCATTTTCTTTTAAGAAATGTATTTGAAAGGTTGATTAGTCATTTTCATCCTACGTTACATGAAAATTAACTTGGATAATCATTTTGCATGTAAATGGAATATTCTATAAGGTTATATGGTTAGGTGTAGTAAACAGAAGTGATATGTAAGAAATCATTGTTTCATCACTTAGAAATATATATCAAAATGGCATTGAACCAAATTGTCTAGCGGATAAAGGGATGATTGTTATTTATAAATGTCTCAAATTCGAACAGTAGAGACTATAAGAGTGTGTGAGCTTTTATTGTCAAATGGTCAATAATCTTTAAAACAATTACTATCTTGTAATCACTCTAGATTAAAAAAATATATATATATATATATATATATAAACCAAAATTAACTTGTTTATCTGGATTTTCCATTTAAAGAGGAAATGTGACCATTTTTTCACCAATTTATTATGATCTTTTTAGAATTGATCATTTACCACCAACCATTTTATTTTAACTTTAGTCCCTAATCAAATGCAAACACAAGATATTCTTTGTTAAACAACAAAGAGACGTGCTTGACATCATATTTGTTTTACAAAAATAAAAATAAAAAAATTATTAAGAAAAAAATATCTAAAATAACAATGAAAGTTTTCAACCAAAATTATAAATTAAAAACATAATTAAGATATTCTCCTATAAATATTAACACAAAAAAAACTAGTCAGTTAATATCATACAAGGACCATACAAATTAAGGTGAAAATTTCATTCAAAAAATCCGAACAATAAATAAATACAAACATTTATGAACTGAGAACTAATTATTTCCCAAATCAACAATCTAAATTGATTTAGAAGTCCACCATTTTCATACAAAGGAAAGTTTGAAGATTCAATTCTAATTTTATAAATTTTTATCTCTTTGAGAAAGATAGGTGAATCATTTAATGGTATAGAGTATACTTTAATCTAGAAGTTTAAACTTTGAGTAATACATATTATCATTTTAATTAAACAACATTAAAATTATAAGTATGAATCAATTAAAATAAATACTATTAAAAAAAATTACGTACCTAATTATAGCTTTAAAAGTAAAATTAGATATCTGACTTTTTATTTTTAGTTTTTAAAAAAGGATCCTTTTTAAATTTTATACATTTTCTAGATTGTTGGATGGATGATATTAATATTATGAAATGAGGAGATGTTTAAGAAAAAGAGAAGTGATTTAACCTCAATTTACAGGTTTTAATCTCAGTTATCAAACTCAATAAATCTAACTATCCAAAAAAAAGTATATAACATATTTTTTATATAATATAATTTTTTTGTTTTTCTGGAAAATTTTGATATCATATTATACATAAATATCAATGTTAAATATAAAAAGTACAGTTGCCCAAATAAATACCAAGACTGCATCGACCCTCCAATTTGCAACAAAGATAAAAAATTGTGACTTCAATTTGCACTAACTACAAGTCCACAACTAAGAGGATAATGGATAATGGATAATACAGCTAGTGGGCCTCTAACCTATACCATTTAATGGAGAGAATAGGAATATGATAAATTAATTTTGGACATAAAACATAGAAAAATATATAAAGTTAACGCGTTTCAATATCTAATGAAGTATTAATATGATAATAATATATCAAGTGACCTAGTAGTAAAGGCAAAGATTATTCTTTTCACATATTTTGGATTGGAGTAGTTCATTTTACAAAATGTGTATTCGTTATTAATAAATTAAGAAAGTTATGAATATATACTATATTTAATTTTATATCACATTTTTTTCTTTTATTTTTTAGTTTTTTTAATAAATATATAGAAGAAAAAGTATTTTTGAAAATTTTAAGTTTCGAGTGAATAGGTGTGTATATCTCTAATTTCACATTTTTATATAATTAATTTTAAATTAAATTGATTTGAAATACAGCAATATATGAATTTAACTCTACAAACAAATTTATTATGATAAGAGAAAAGAAAATCTGCATATATGATGGAAAAGGCAAAAAAAATAAAATAAAAAATGAAGGACCACTTTGAAGGGTGGCGTTTCCACTTGGGGGAGACAGCCTCTTGAAACCAAACGCCTTGTCCCACTTCCATTATAAGAAGGTTTCCTTTTTCTTTTTGCTTGCATCACCCCATTTTCACACACTCAAACAAATGTTATTACTATTAGATTCAATGCAAAGACTAAGAGATGTAAAATATAAAAAATAAAAACCTTAAAATATCATTCAATTAAGTTTTTTTTTTTTTGCATTTTAATCATTAACGTTGTGGGTGTATGACATCTTAATTATCCAGTTGTAAGCTATTATTGAGAAAATAAAATTATAGCTCGTCCGTTAATAAAAGTAATGATATCTAATTTGACTTTGAACTATAGTTAAAGTATCAGTTTAATATTTTAATAGTACTTTTTAACTATAATTCTAAAAAAAAATAAGAGGACTCTTTAAAATTTTGTGTTGGTATGAAAAGTTGTGTATCTAAATTTATTTCCCAATGGGTTGGAGCATTGATATGAAAGTGTGATCCTAGCTTTTAAGTGATTTTGATTGATCTTTTATTCAAATTTACATGCTTGTTTTTAGAGACTCGCTTCAAATTTTTTTGCTTTTCTAAGATAATTTGAACACTACTTTCAACTAGATTCCTTCATGTCCCTCTAGAACTACACTTCCACAAATTGTATCATCTTCAATTTTCTGAATCAATTTTTTTTTCTGTTTAATGACCACAAAATCTTTTAGGGGATTAAAATATTCATTTGAACTGATGGAAAATGTGTGTAAATCAATTAAGCTTGTTAGATTAAATGATTATTTGATTTGAAATTAAATAGGGCACCTAAAAGTGATAATTGGAAGTTTAAGGATCAATTTGTAAAGTGAGAAAATGATGTAGTTGTGCATGGTTATTTGCCCAAAAGTTTGTTGTGAATGCAAATTGGTCCCTGAATGTGAGCATAGGCTTGAAAGATTTGTGACCCATTTTAGATCTAATTTGAATAAATTAAATTTCGATAAATCAATCTGACATCGTTGAATTGGTTCTTGATTAGACTAGGTTGGAGGAGGGGTCAATTTGTTTTTCTTAAGAAATAAAAAAACCAACATGAACACGTAATTTTTAATCATTAGTCATACATGTAATCATTCATATAGTCAATGAAAATACTTAAACATACTCGAACCATCTCATACATGTCAAAACACACCTGAATCAGAACATCTTAACCAAGAATAATAGCATTAGACTAACGGTGATAAGCTTCTACAATTTCAGACGTAAACTAATGAAAGAATTTATTCAGGGAGTGAAGTAATTTTAATAATAACTTTAGGGCAATATGTGTGTATAATCTATTACTGTGTAATCTATGGGCACCAAGAAAGATAATAATGAAAATGCTCTTCGATTTGGTTAACGTGGGATTGTTTAAGGAAAGAGACGCTTCTCTCTCTTTTATTTTCTCACTTAATCATAGCTTTTAGGTTTAATTATGGTTTCAGTCCCTCTATCATGAACAAATTTCTTAATTAATCGATGTCGTTAAAGTGATGGTATGAACTATGAAGTTATTATCATTATTATTAGTAGTAGTAGTTGGTCGCACACTCATGATCACAAAAATCCAATTAATATGTTGCTTTTAGAAAGGAAAAAAAACATCTAATCATTTTAGTGGTAACAATTAATATTGTTATCAAATTGGATATGATAATAATAACATAAAATTAGAAAGTTTAAATAATATTAAATTAAAATTGATTAAAAAATTATAAATTTGGATTTAATAGAGACTCTAAAACCATTACAAATCGTAACTCAGTAGAGAGACTAAGACCATAATTATGTCTCAATTTCCCTACAACATATTTATTATAATGAAAAAAAAACAAGCCCAAGACAATAGAGGAACATTAACCTGACTTGATCCTAAAATGTTTTACCATACTTGTTGAATTTGGTATATATGAGATGAAGTATTTTGAAAATAAAAATTATAATTGTAATTGTTTAAGTGACTCAATATAATAGATTAGACTCGTACGAGAGTTTAGGGTATTACACGATTTCCTTTCATCTTTATCTAGAACAGTTGTTGTTATTTTTCTTAATTCTTAACAAAATCTTATCTCTATGGATTCTATATCATTTTACGAGTTTGTTTGTACGAATAAATAAATATAATTATTAATAAAAAGAATATCTAAATATAATTTCATTTATTTCAAGTGATTTTTGTACCATTTCATTGAATCTTTAATCTTTGGGATTCAAACTAATATTTAAACGTTGTCAAATATAAAAAGAAAAGCATCCACAGTTAGGATGACTTGTTAAAAATAAAAGTAGGAAGCATAAGTTAAGATGTCATGAATAGTTGTACTAACAGTGGTGTGTTTTTAAGGACATGTACGTTGGTAGTAACAATTTATTGTAAAAAGCAAGTATGGATTTAAAAGCAACAAAGGAACATAGACATAACGAAAGAGAGAAGCAAAGAGAACCAGAAATTAAAAAGAAAAAGAAAAACAGATGAAACTTCATTTAGTTCACCATTATTGTTGATATAAAACCCTGCCTAAAAAGAAACAAGATCCCTTTGCCTCAATCCTTCATAGCTTTACTAGCGTTAGCTAACTCTTAAAGCCCAACCCCTTCCTTTATTTTTAGCTTTATATTCTGAGATAAAGTAAGAGCTGTTTTTAGCTCTCTCTTTCTCTTTCTCGGTTCATTTTCTTTTTTGGGTTTTGATTCTTGAGAGAAGATGGTCACCATGGTTGTTTAAAATTTGGTTTTTGAATTATATGTTGTTTTGGTTGAGTTCATATGTTGAGAGGATTTTTCGGAAACAGAGGAATAAGAATGTGGGATCTTAATGACTGTCCTCATAAACCAGGAGTCGATGAATCGGAGGGGTGTGGAGATGAAGATAAGGGTAAACGGGTCGGATCTATGTCGAATTCGAGCCCTTCGGCCGTGGTGATCGAGGATGGATCCGAGGAAGAAGATGGGAATAGAGTTAAAACAGCTTTTAATAAGAAACAAAGCAAGATTTTTGGATTCTCGGTTCTTCATCGTGAAGAAGAAGAAGATGAGGAGGAGGAGGAAGATGAATCCATGGAGGGCGATGATCGGACTCCGGTAACCCGGCAATTGTTCCCACTTGAAGAAGAAGACCCGGAAATGGAGAGCCCCACTTCGGGGGGAACCGAACCCGGGATCCCTCGGGCTCACTGGTTTGGTGTCAAATTCTGTCAATCGGAGCTCAATGTTTCCGGCGAAAAGTCCGTCGAATCTTCAAGGCCGATGAAGAAAAGCCGGCGAGGACCGAGATCGAGGAGCTCTCAGTATAGAGGCGTTACCTTTTATAGAAGAACCGGGCGATGGGAGTCCCATATTTGGTCAGTTGATTTATTTCTCATTTTCACTACAATAAAAGCCTGAATTGTTTAAGGTTAGTTTATTTGTTTGTCATTTAATGTACAGGGATTGTGGAAAACAAGTTTATTTAGGTATGTCTGATTGTCTTTTATTTTATTTCTCAGATAATCTTTTTAAAATAATAATTTTATTCTCTGACGATGGATGTGATCTTATAGGTGGATTCGACGCAGCACCTGCAGCTGCTCGGTAAAAATAACTCATTTCAAAATGATAAAAAAAAGATTAAACAAGTTTTTTAAAGAAAAGTTTCGCTTTTTAATTTGTTTTCAGAGCATATGATAGAGCTGCTATAAAGTTTCGGGGAGTTGAAGCTGACATTAATTTCAGTATTGAAGATTATGAGGCAGATTTAAAACAGGCGAGACACTTGACTATATTCGACCGTTTGAATGGTATTATCTGATTTAATTGTTGTGGTGTAACAGATGAAAAATCTAAGTAAGGAAGAATTTGTGCACGTACTTCGGCGACAAAGCACTGGATTTCCTAGAGGAAGCTCCAAATACAGAGGAGTGACCCTGCACAAGTGTGGGAGATGGGAAGCTAGACTGGGCCAATTTCTAGGCAAAAAGTAACATTATTTGAACCCTCCATTCTTACTTGATTCAAAACACTATCAATACGTTTTTCTTTTGTTTGTTTTACAGGTACGTTTATTTAGGGTTGTTCGACACTGAGATTGAAGCAGCAAGGTGTGTGCATTTAGGTTTTGAATCTGATGCAAAATCGGCTGGATTTTAAATTTTGGTCCCTTCTGCAGGGTTTACGACAAAGCTGCAATCAAGAGCAATGGCAAAGATGCCGTCACCAACTTTGATCCCAGTATTTACGACAATGAGCTCAACAATGGTAGTCAGTCAATTTTCCCCATTTCTTTCTCCCATCATTACTTACACAGTGAAAAATTTTATGTTAAATACGAACTTCTGAAATTTTAAGAATGATAAATTTATAAAACTTTAAAGGAATGAAAATAAATTATCAATAAAAAATATCTAAAATAATATGATTATTCAATCCCTTAACATAGTTTTCTTGTATATTCTTATTGTCTAGAAACTCCTGCCAATGCTGGAGATCACAATCTTGATTTGAGCTTGGGGAATTCGACCTCAAAGCCAAATAGTCCAGAATCCGGTACTGATAAACAAAATTCGCCACCCAAAACCGATCGGCAATATCAGGGATTTAGGCCTAAGGTACTCATTTTTTAGCACGTTACTCAGACTCGAGTACAAATCTTCGAAATAGATAAGTAATAGGTTCATTTTTTTTATTTTGTTTATTGTCTAGCAGCCAATCCTGCAGCAAGAACAGGCTTGTAGAAGTGACGATCCTCGTAGAACAACAGATAGACAAATTCAATATCCGGTCTCGATTAGGTCCAATGAAATGCTAAGATATGGGCAGCTGAGAAGACCTGGAGAGAGCCATATGGTTCATATTCGTCCTCCGCATATCGTCAATCCATCGACTTATCAGGTTTGTGTTTATGATTATATCACTCGACTCGGATTTACGTGTCAGATACAGATTATACCGGGGAACTTCAGCTAACTAAACCTTTGTAAATGTTTCAGAATCAATTTGCAAGCAACAGCAATGGAGTCCGATTCGGGAGTGATCTTTCGCTTTCAACGAGTGCTCAACAATGGCAACCGGGTCCTCACAGATTGATTGCAAATGCAGCAGCATCATCAGGATTCCCTATGCAGGTTAAACCAACTCACCAAGCATGGCAGCAGAGAAATAGGCTCCATTCTTTCACGACACCATCCCGACATATCTAAAAACAAAACAACTTCCCAATAGATTTCCATTAACTAAACTCTCTTTGATCACCCTGTTTGTTTTTTTTATTAAGTATGCAAAAATCAATGATTTCACACGCTTTTTTTCTCATACACAAAAAACAAACGAACAAATAGTCCAAAATTTCCTAGTATTGCGACTTATCTTTTCTATTTTACCTTTATTTTTTAATAATATGAAAGGAATAAAGTATAATATTTATTTATAATCTTTATTAACGTACATATCCCGTTAACATAGTTACACGAATCTAGAATTTGTAAAAAAATATCACTCCTCTTACCTCAAAAGTAGATGAAAGTAACAAAATAAATGGAGAAAAAACAGAGAAGGGAGGCCATAAATTCCTGGAAATGGTCTTTAAAAGTATTGGGAATATCGACTATCATATGATATTGCTTTGTATTGCTTTTATCGAACCAAAATCAATCAGCCGACATGGGCAATAATGGTGAAAGTCATCTTCACCCCCATTGCTTTCTAAAGACATTTGTATGATACAAAATGCAATAATATTAAAAGATAAGTACTCCATATTTTACGTAATTAAAAATAAACTGAGCCGTTAATGTATAAATCATGTTTTAGCCTAAACTTATAGTGATATGAGTCCAACTGTGTATGAACACTATCATGAATTAATCAGACCAAGTTTAAATATATCTTTATTATTAGTTCAATTATACTAATTATAAACTATTTACTTGACTATTACTAATAAATTTATACAAAATAACCTAAATTCAGATATTCTAAATTGATCTATTTATTAATCAAAAATAAATAAAATGATCTATTTAAATTTAAATATATCCTAGACTTACTAAAAGGTAAATTCCTAGTCACTCGGCTACTAGTAAGTTTTTAGTTAGATCATCTAAGTTTAAAATGTTATAAACTGATCATTTGAGATATTAAAAATTATAAAATATTCACCGGTTGTTTATATGTATAGGGAAAGTTGACTTGGTATTTAATAAAATTATTATAGTAATATGTTTAGTCTTCAATATTTATATATGATTTTAATTTGATTCTAATTTTTTTTTTAAAAAAAACTCTTGACATTTAAATATTGTATCAGTTATATCCCTAATAAACCATTTTAGATCATTATCCCCTCCATGCTTAACCATCTTCTATATGGAATTTAGTTGAGCATGTTGAAACTAAGTCGTTGGTAGTTAGTATTTAGTTAATAGTTTGTTGATTCAGTTGGTTTTAAAATCTAGTTAGTCATCTTGTATATATAGTAGGTCTTGTAAATTTAACATTATATTCAATACATAAATGATGAATTTCATAATTATTATGGTATTAGAGCTTCGTCTCTATCTTTTTTTTTTATATCAAATCCTGATAAATTCGGTGAATTACGATTGATATTGGTTATATTTACACCATATCTAAATATAGAGGAGACAATGATCGAGATTGGGTTAACATAGATTACATTAGTACAATACTTAAATATTGATGGTTATTTTTGAAAAAAATTAAACTATAAATTTTAATGATTAAATGTGTTATTATATTAATTTTATTGACTATTAAGTCAATTTTTATTTAAAAATTAATTATAGATGACTATATTGTTACTTTTAGTAACTTGAATGACCAATTTATAACATATTAAACTCGAGTGATCCAATTAAAATCATACTAATAGTCAGTTGACTAACTAGCAAGTTTACCCTAAAAAGAGTTTTGCGTGTCTGATGATCCCACTGGCGTGGTTGTTCTTTGCCCATATTTTCACATTTTATAAAAGCACCGTGGTATTTTTTTTAAAAGTTTTGTATTGCATTATATTTAAGAATATACATACAAAACAATATATATATATATATACACACACGCTTTGATAAAAAAGCTTCTTAATCCTAATTGGACGGGAAAAAAGTGACATGAAAATGTAGATAAAGAGAGCATCAACGTTAATAACCAACACAAACAAAGAACTCAAATAACGCATTACAGAGAACCAAACAACGCTACTGAGAAATCAGAAAGACCCCTGAGAGAAGACGCACAAGCGATAGCCGCTATCACAGAGTCATAAAACACCAAGCACCGTGGTAATTAATAATAGGGTAATTACAAATTTTTTTCACTCAATTTTCTTTTCATTTTTATTTTGGTTGTTAACATTTAATTTTTTTAATTCACTGATTAAACTTCTAATTTACTCTTATTTTGATCACTCTAGTGTTAAATCATAAATGAAAGTGTGACATAGCAAATAAGTATTGATGTGGACTAGTTTTTTTAAATAAAATTCATGTGTCATCTACATAATTCTCTCTTTTTCTTTCTTTAATTTTGATTTTATCTTCTTCCTCCAAAGATGAAATTCTTATGGTTACATTCTTATGTCACATCAATACTGTAATTACCATTTTTTGGAGTCTTTTATAACTGCTCAAGATGCAAACAAACTTTTATCGTTGTCTTCTATCACTCTATCAATCCAAAATCACTTTAAAATTCACTAAACTCAACCTTAAATACAAAACTCATAAAACCCTAAACCATTATGATATATAATATCTACCATTTAATCAGTGTAGAATCAATATATAACTAGCTTTCTCCTACTTCACCTCCCCATTGTTGAGATTTAAAGAAATTATTAAAATCAAAAGAAATATGAAATCATGGGTTTTCCACACAAAAAGTAAAAATAAAACAATTTGGGTATATTCGGTCATTAAATATTTAATGATAGTGTGACTAAAATAGGAACAAATGAAAGATATAGTTAGTAAATTAAAAATTATTAAATTTTAATGATCAAAATAGGTATGACATGAAAATTGAGTGTGTGAAATTTATGATTTACCCTTGAAAATAAATATCGGTCAAAAAGCCTTTCACAGTGAATTCACCTTAGCTGCTTGTTTTAAGGTAGGAGGGCAACTGAGATTCTTGTAATTAAAAAAAATTAATGGAACTTTCGAATTATTTTGGTTCTCAATTTGATTTTTAAACTTAGAAAAAGAATCTAATGTAATCATTTGATTAATAATTTTCATCGTTAACCGTTATGATATTTATGTGGTATTTCACGGTGTTGACGTGACGAATGCTTACATACAGTCTATAGTAGTTGGTGATGTGATTGATGATGTAACAGATGAGTGAAATTAATTTTTTATTGAGTTCGAGAGTCAAATTGATTTTTTTAAAATTTATAGATTTATTTTTTTAATAAAAATATTTTAAATTTAAAATATAAAAATATTCTAAAACTAAATATAATAAATACCAAAAATAAAAATTAAATTACTCAAAATAAAAAATATATATTATTATTTTTATCTCGAATTTAACATAATATAAATATAAATTCGTTCATCTTGCACAAATCTTATTTTATATATTTACCTCTAATTATCTTAAACTCCAAATGATTTTTAAATTTTATTTCATTAAATTTTTATAAAATCAAATTAAATATTTAAATAAACCCCTAAACTTAAAAAAATCAATATAGCTCATCTACGTCACCAGTCACTGTGAATTATCATGTCAACACCGTAGATCACCACATCAACATTATAAAATATCACATCAACACCGTAAAGTATCACATCAACATCATAATGATCAACGACATAAAATGTTTGTCAAATAATCACATTGAATTTTTTTTTCTTCTAAATTTAAGGACTACATTAAATACAAAAATAATTCGACTGCATTGATTTTTTTAAAAAAAAATACAATGAGATCATTCCTCATATACCTTTTTACCTTGTTTTAATTACTATTACTTAAAAACAAAATAATCAGTAATAATATTTAAAAAACTATAATAAATTAATTTATTCTTATAATTAAAATTAAAATTGATCATATTAATGTCATTATATATTATCATCTACCAACCCCGTCTTTCACATTAAAACTTTAGATAACATTTTCCTATAAAAATATTAATATTACGTAATTTCAATAGCTTGATTCTTTTTTGTAGTTCGTTTGTTACTGCAGTCAGATTTATTCGTATCTATATTTTATTCAAGTTTATTTAGTTAGGTTTTTAACGTTTTCCTTGTATAATCCTTCTGTGGTCTTAAGTGACTAGTTTTCTCGTGTTAATGATTATAAGAAAATGCTTTAGTTATGTGTTTAGTTTACGGTTATAGTTGTAAACCTTCATTGTGATTTTAATTTTTTTTAACAAAATTAGTTGTTTCTGTTTAAAAATATATATTTATAAGACAAAACTGAATATGTAATGTTACTTTTTTCTAAAATTAAGAACTTTATTCTTATACTTAAAAGTTGTCTTCAAGTTAATATATTGTTTGATTTAAATTTTAGAAGGTTTAAACATTCAGGTTTGAGTTTTATTATATTAAAATATTGATATCAGTGTAAATTTAGTATAATTGATTTTGATTTTAATTATATTGATTATATTTATATATTATATTAATTAATTTTAATTGTAATAATAAAAACATATTATTTATAATTATAATAGTAACCTAAAATTTATAAAATTAAATCAAATCTAAATTGAATGGACTGAAATTATTTTATCTAACGGTATACATAATTGTGCCACCACGTGGGTCTCAACATTACCAAATTTAAAGAATGCATTAAAAGAAATTTGGATTGTAGGGAAGATATTTTCAATGGTACTAAAAATAAACTACAACGAGCATAATGGCAAGTGTTTTAAAATAATTGCCCACCTCTCTCTCCAACCAATAATTCAAAGAAACATAACTCCTATAAAACCAAGATTGGACCATGTTTCAAATTATTATGTCCTTTTTTCAGACCAGACACATATGTGTAACTTCATTAATCTATTGTTCCTTTCACTACCTAACAAGTTTTCCACCCATCAATAACTCTCCCATCTTTATTTTAATTTGTATTTAAGTGTAAGAAATGGTGCACGTATCAAACAATTTCATTGATTAAGGAATGAGTGTTGTTGTTAGAGGTTATGAGTTTGAACACGATATCTATAAGAGTGTTTGATGTTGATTATCAAATAATCGAGAATCTTCCAAACAAATATTACCTTATAATTAACCTAGCTTAATAAAAAAAATTAAGAACTTATTCATGATTTTCCTAAAACTACTTTGTATTATTAATAATGAAATGAATACAGTGTCTCACGAGTCCTTCCTGTTTTGGCAAGATTGCTTAGGATTTGTTAAGTTAACATCATTTATTTCATCTTTTTATTAGGGCTATATTAATTATTTTTATATAAAAATTAAAAATGATTTTTAAAAATAATAAAATGCAAAAAGTATAAATAAATATATTAAAATTATTAGAGATCCATTAATTGGTCGAGTGGTCAAAAAGGGACATACACATAACTTATGTTAAGGGACAAACTTCTAAAATTTTAGAAGGGGACGAACTTATAAAATTCTAAGGGTGAAAACAGATTTTCAATCGAAAATATATAAAAAAATATCTAAAATATATAGTAATTTAAATTTTCATGGGACGACTATCCTTACCGTCCCACCTCGATCCATCCATTTGGCCAAAGATACTCATGTTGTCTTATTTTGTGTGAGTTAGAATCCAAACATTTACCTTAAAAATGAAATACATCTCTACTTAATCAAACAAAAATAAAATTGAAAATATTAGTAAAAATAACAAAAAAATAAATTAGTTAATGTAAAATTAACAGATTCATTATTTTTTAATATTAATTGACTTAATGTAATAAAGAATTAAAAAACAAAAATTAATTTTGAAGACCATAAATACCATTAAATCATAAATCAAACTAAAACCAAATAAAAAATAAAAAACTTCCATATCACGACCTCATCCGTAAATAGATACTTAATAAGTTTACCCTATCTGTTTGATAAATAAATTTAAACGCCGACACTACATTACATTTTTGTTCAAGTCTCTTCAATACCGGTGAGGAAAAATTAATTTGTGCCATTATTTTTTGGTACCCATATTGTACATGAAATAACTTCAAAATCAAAATCATTTTAGCTAATGATGTAGTTAGGGTGATTTTGATTTTTTTATATATAAACTTTAGTCTTTATGTTTACGTAGAGATTAATTCTATCAAATTGGATAAAACTACAACAACAAAAAACTAATTTTATTAAGTATTTAATGCTATTATATTTTTAAAATTTTAAATCCACAACTTTAATTAAATTATAACAACAATAACGTTTACAACCTACGACAATCTCAATATTCATTTTATAAAAAGTTTTAATTAGAATAAATATAAAGTATAAGGTTGTTCTATGCATGAATGCATATAAGGTGTTGAATGAGAATCAGTCCAAAAGAAATAATAAATTGATAAAAAGTATTAAAAAAAAAAGATAAGGAGGTATTCTTTAGTTAAATATGAGCGTTTAAAAATGGTGACCAATATTGGTGGTCTTTTATATTTTTGTCCCGTTCAATTTTAGTCATCAGTTTTGTATAAAATTGATTTTGGTCACTTTTGTTTTATTTTAGTCACTATGTCATTACCTCATGTTACTTTGGTGATGTTGCATTTTTGTAAAAATGATTAAATTTTAACTTTATATTTGAATTTTAGACATAATACTAAATTAAACTTAAATTTTATATAAAATATTAATTTAACTCATAAATTTTATATAAAATATCAATTTGGTCAGTGAATATAATCAAAGTTCACATAGATGATCGCCACTCATTAGTCATTACCTTCTCTAGCCACATACAACTGAGATGGATGGTCATTTCCTTCTCTAGCCACATAGATTGTCATAATCGGTTACTATCAAAGTTGATGACATTTGGACCCTAAAATTTTCAATTCACTTTTTTTTATATTTCGAGTCAGATATGAAGTAGTTCGCTTTAACTCATTAAAAATTAGAATCGAATTCAACTCCATTTAATTAGAGAATTGAAAGAATTTTAATAGAATCAATTTTAAATAAATCGTGATCTATCTTGTCTCATTTACAACTGTAATATAAAATACAATAATTAAGTAGGTTTGGTTAGGATCTACAATACGTAATTCAACCAGAGTGCCAGGTTTTCTTTTCCCCCAAAATTTTATTTACCTTTTCTCCAATTAAAATATTTTAAAGAACTCTCCAGAAGAGAGAGAGAGAGAGAGAGAAAAAGGGAAATTAAGACCAAAAAAAAAACGACCATACGAGATTACTAAAGAGGGAAAGAGAGTTATTACGAGTAGGGTTTGAAGTTCGACCTACCAAATCTTCTCCGCCAAACCCCCCCAGTTTTTCTTGTTTTGCTCATCAGGATCCGGCATTGTCTTCTTATGAATCGGGTCTAGATCCGGATCTTCCAACCTACTTTCTTGGATTCTGACCGGTTTTCTGTCCGACTATGACAGCGAAATCTTCGCCTTCTGCTTCGGCTGGTAGATCGGAACCTCCTAAGGATTCCCCGGTAACAATCGCACTTTTCGATTTTTTTCTCTCTCTCTGACGTGCGTCAAACGAATATTTCATTTTAGTTACGTTTCTCATTTCAACTTTTTTTGTTTTTCTCGAAATTTTCCTCGATTTTGGAATTATTTGATTGTAGGAGCTGACTGCATTTTGTTAAGTTTGGCTTATCTTATGGATTATTACGTCATAAAATTCAGTGTATAATTGACAAGTTTATATAACCTTAAAAAGCGACTAAACTGGTTTAATTTTAGTCTTTGTTTTGTTAATTTTATAAGTGTTTGTTCAACAATTTTGTTTTGTTACATGTAACACAATTCTTTCTCGAATTATGCATGATTGATAATAAGCTTCGTTGGATTATTCACTTTTACACAGATGACACAAGTTGAAGAACAAACTGTGAGTTCTAAGGAGATTTTATCAGTAATTGATTCATTAAAGAAGCTAGTTGCAGCTGATCGATCTCTTTCTGTAAAGGTGAATTCCTGGGTTATCTGATTCTTTTGGCAGCTTAAATAAAGGCTATACGTGCTAATCTATTTCAGTTCATTTTGATTCCATAAAAGGTTGGAAGAAAACAGGAAAAATTTAGGTGGTATAACAAGCCATATTTATAAATTGTCAAATGAACGAAGAAGCAATTGGATTGGTGATACCGATAGTGCTTCTGACCTATTGACAAAGAGGCAAAATGATGCTCTTGGTATGCAAAATAGCATTGACCTAAGTAACGGGGATAAGGATGGTTATAGGTATCAAGAAGCTTCTACATTAGTTCTTATGGACAGGACCGGTCCAATGAGTTTTAATGTCTTGAGCGAGATAATAATTTTATGCCCTTCAAGTTGAGAATTCTTTCTCGGGTTTCTCTGGTTGATGTTATCTTCTTGTCTCCCTGAATGTTCTGAAAGAGTAAGCTGTTGGAGATGCATCATTGCTACCATGCTGATTGCGAATATAGCTACATTGCTTAGTATCCCACCCATATGGTCAAAATTCAGGGATTTCTTTGCATAGTTGAAGCTAGAAACCAGAACTTTGATTAGCTTATCAGAGTACTTCCCTTTGTGTGATACTAGATTCTGTCCAAATGGACTGTTTGGCGTACGGTAAAGGTTTTCGGGTGAGACATAATGGCTAGCATCGTGTACATCTCCCACAAAAGCTAGAGCTTCATCAATTACTTTGTACTTCTTTCCATGATGCTCAACCAATCTCAATGCAAGAATTATCCGACTTTGTTCTAATCGTGCAATGGCAGCATCTCTCTCGACCTGCTGCTGGATTTGTACAGTGTAAAAAGAAGAAAAGACATACATAACATGAGATATCCGTGTGACATGTTAATTGCTTATATCCGAAAAACTATTACAAACATAAAGTTAAAAGCAAACAGGTAAGAACAGAATCAGAGAAGTTCAGGAAAAATGACACCACAACACCTCAAAAAAATCAATGAATCCGAACCCGGCATTTTTCAGTCTGGATGGTGAAGCAACGAATTAGGATTCAACCCATTCATGGGTGCAAACTTGTGCAGTTCCTGGCCCTAAATCTCATATCAACAACTCCTCCCGCATTACAAAATGGGGCTCCTAATCCTAATAAATATATTCATGATCTCACCATTCTCTACAGACTTCAGAATCTAGAAAACTACAGAATTTTCACTTCAGATAAATATTATTTCCGTAGAAGCAATATGTAACATTTTCTTTTAGAGAAAGATAATTTCCATATAAGCTATATGTTACAACTTCATTTCAGATAAAGCTCTCAGATCCCTATATAACAAGTCTCACTGCTCATTTTTCAACAGCCCATTCTGTACATTTAGAATGATTAATAATAATTCTCAAATAACCCAACACTGAAAACAACCAACAAATGAATTTTTCTTGTTTCCAGATTTTCTTTCAATCCCCATCAACAAAACAGAATTTTAAGTAAAAAATTACAACACCAGATGCAAAAATTGGAAATTCAAATACAATAAAAGAATTATAACTCCTTTCATTTCGTTATACCGATTTCATTGATTAATTTAACACAAAGCAAACAAAACCAGTAAAGAAAATCTGATGCCCCTCAAACATGATGCCCCTCAACCCATTCACTCAACACTTCATTCCCTGATTCTCCAATGCAATTAAGTGGTGAGAAAAGAATAAGTGGGGGAACTGAACAAAGGTTTAACTCAGCTGATGTCGAGTTGAATGGTGAACCAAATAATTATCAACAGAACCAAAGTTAGCAGCACCTTTCTTTGTCCAAATTAACTTACAGTAGCACGTACATGCTACCCATCTTTGTCTTCTAGAAAATGATGCCCCTACATGCTGATGCCCTTACATGCTGTCCTGGGCTGTCGCCCATCTGACACATGTATAGGACCGGCCCTGCTTATGGGTCCTAGTATTCCTGTTAAGAATGTTGTTCGTCATATTAAGCTTACAGAAGTGAAAAAGCTGCCACCTTATACGACATGGATATTTCTTGACAGGTTTTGAGGATAACTAGAATTTTTCTATTTTTATTATATTATATTATATTTTCTTATGCTCTTTCTTTATTTATATATAGAGCTAGTCAGAAAGAATGTTTCAATCATGCTTCTAGGATGCCTTTTATGTTTATCCAATTTAGTAAATAGATCAGAAAAATTGAAGTAGTAAAATAGTTCTTTGAATTTCTATGAAAAGGATAAACTAAATTCATTTCTTTTGGCTGTAGAGAATGAAAGAGGATCAATCAGTGGTGGGTCGAAGGAGAATATACTATGATCAAAACGGTGGTGAAGCACTTATCTGCAGTGACAGTGAGGAGGAAATAATTGAGGAAGATGAAGATAAAAAGGATTTTGTTGAATCTGAAGACTTTATTCTCCGGTTGGTATAGTCACAATATCTATTATTATCATCATGTTTATGTTCTTTTCGTTTTCCTTTTTCTATCTCGAAGTATATTTCGTTGCTTTTACTACCTGTTCTAGTGTAGAAACCTGAAAATATTCTGGAAGCATGTACGATCTGCAGTAATTAGAATTTTGTCAACTTGATAAAGATGTATTTTGAATGTTTAACGAAAAATGTATACATAATATACTCGTGTCATTTTGAATTAATTATTGTTATCGTATGTATTTTGTATTTACACAACTCCAATCTACAATAGGTTTGAGGAATATAAATAGTTTTATCGTCTCCATTTGTTGCTTCTAGATGGTAAAGTCTATCATACTCCTTAGCATGCCTAATCATCTTTTCCGTGGTCTGATCCTAAAATACAGAGTGAACTAGATAAAAAAGTAACATAATAATTTAGGTCAGAATAGATCTTTTCAACAGACAACAAATTGTAGGACAACTTGGGGGCATGAATAGATGTAAAAGGCAGTGATGGTATGGGTTTTATGATTCCTTTTCTGACAATGGTGACTAATATTCCTTTGGCTATTTTAATTTTTTGATTCTCGGGACATGTCGTATAGGATGCAAATTGATTTGAGGAGTTTGTCATATGGTCGGTACCTCATGAGTCTGCTAATCAGATTTCATTATGTTTTCTCTTTGAATCAATTTATAATCTATTACAACCTTTTATAGCCTACAAGGCTATACAATTACTTTTGGAATACAGCAAAAGCTAGGTATGTCTAAATTACAAAGAAATCAGAATTAATTTCTGTATTTACAACTTGCGTTGATTTGTCAGTTTTAGGAAATTATTCCATAATCCACTGCCATATTTTTAGGGATGTCTTCCAAAAAATGGGGTCAAGGAATCTGTCAGATTTTGTCAACAGATGGACACAAGCTTTTAGTTCTACGCTTAATGATATTTGGTAGAAACATGCTAAACTTATTTTTTTAAAGGTAAAATATGCTTAGTTTTGGAATCATTGGTATCCGATTTATTAATCGACTAATCCAAATCGGGTATTGCAAAAGCGAGGCGACCCTTGCAACCCAATTTGCTCCATTCACAAACGTCAGAATTCGAATCCCTGATCTTGCTTAAGGGATTTAGTGCCTCATCCCACTAGACCAACTGGTTGTTGGTGAAAAAATATGCTTAGTTAATTATGCTATTGAATCGAAATGTGATATGCTTAAAATTGTTGCAGAACTGTTGTTATTTACTTCGTGAACCTATAAGCTATCTTTGCACGATGTTTCACATGTTCTATGAATTTTAATTCATTTTGCAATACAGGTTCATGTATCTTCTTGTTCTATTATCATTCATATTGACTTATGGACCAGTAATGCCATAATGTATCTTACAAAGATTCTTAAGATTGATGTCTGAACTCCATCTAATTTTTGCCAATGTTTCTCGCATCCTGTTATAAAATTGCCAGAATGACTTTCAAGGATGTTGGTTTGTCTGATCGGGTGCTGGAATCACTAGGACAATGCTTGTCTAGAAGTCCTGCCGAAGTCAAGGTATGCACCCCTGCTGGAAACTGCAGTGTTGGCCTTTGAACTTTTTTTAAGTATTAACGGCCTTTTCTCTTTCATTTTTGGCAGCTAAAATTAGTTTTTGATGGATTGTTTTTCCCACCTGCTCATTCTTTTTCCTGATAAAATTGGTCATATAGTGTAAACTTCGGTCCAGCTGTTCCTCATTTTCTTTCTGCTGGATTTACAGAGATATGAAACACCATCAAACATTTTATACAGGCAAGATACGAAACTCTTATGAAGGAGAAGGATGTTGGAGTTTCTAAGAATAAGGATACTGAAGTAAAAAATTGGAATTCCTTTATTGAAAAGGATCTTGAAGCAGCACTTGATTCTTTTGACAATTTATTTTGTAGACGGTGCCTTGTAAGCATTTTTCTTGTTCTTTATCATATTCTGTGTTGTTTTGTAGTTTTCTTTAATTGTATCCGTATTTTCTTGTATTTGGAAGGTCTTTGATTGCAGATTACATGTATGTTCTCAGGACCTCATCTTTCCTGTGAGTTGTTCATGCAATTCTAAATGTTTACAATTTGTCAGAATATGTTACTAGGCTCCTAGGTTCTTAATTTCTCAGGACATTATAATTTTCAGGCCGATAAACAAAATACATGGAACCATCCAGATGAAGAGAATGCACCTTGTGGTCTGCATTGCTATCGTTTGGTATATATTTTGCTGATCTCTCATCTCTTCAAAATATTGCATTCCTTATATGAGATTGACTTGTTTAATGCTAGGTGCTTAGGTCAGAAAGAAATGACACAGTTAGGTCTCCAATGAATCCTGAAGACAGGTCAAATTCTTCATCTGATGGTGTTGGAGCACAAATATCATCTAGTAAGAAATCTGCTAGGAGGAAAGCAAAGTTAAGCCAAAGTGAAAGTGCTTCATCCAATGCTAGAAATATTTCAGAAAGTAGTGACTCAGAGATTAGACCCGGGCAAGAAGAATCCTCCCCTATTCCTCAGTTATCACCTTCTAAAAATAAAATTGTCAGAAAATCTGGCATTCTCAAGAGAAATAGCAAGCGAGTTGCTGAATGTGTTTTAGTTTGCATGCGCAAGAGGCAGAAGAAGATGGCAGCTTCTGAATCTGATTCTCTTGTGAGTGGATGTGTTTCACCTACAGACATGAAACTCAGGTCTAGTCGACGAAAGCAAAATGAGGATTCAATGTCTTCTTCACATAAGGATGTAAAATCTTTAAACACAGGAAGGTCTAGGAGGAAAGACTGGCCGTTGAATGGAATGCAAGGAGAATTCTCCCTATTGAAACTTTTAATGATCTGCCTCTGATTAGTAGTAACAATTGCCTGGGAAGAGAAGAGTTTGTGGATGAAAATTTAGGTAAACAAGAACCAACTGATGATAAATCTTGGAAAGCTATTGAAAAAGGTCTTTTTGAGAAAGGTGTGGAGATTTTTGGCAAGAACAGGTTAGTTTAAGGAAGTTACCACTTTGGATTTTAATGAATTGCTTTTTGTTACTGACTAGATAGAATCTGCATTGCATTTGAGTGAATGAATTTGATGAAATCTGCCGCTTTCTTATTGTTAATTATCCGCTAAAGGATCCACTATCATCAAATTTATTTGTTCGAAAATCCACCTTACAAATTTCTGCATCTTGCCACAAGTGTTTTTTGAAAGTTGCAGTTATGTTTATTTCCTTCCCCTCATTTTCTCAAAATTCAGACAATAATCAAAATTCATAGTTTAAGAGTTACTTTATGTAGTTTGTGGATCACCCTCTTTGAAAGCAACACCATTTTTTTGCATTTTGTTTGCAGTAATAGCTTTTGGGTTTCCTTCCTGTAAATTGATTCGGTCTGCTTATAGTTTACTCTTTGCTAACAGCTGTTGATTGCCAGAAATCTTTTGAACGGTTTGAAGACATGTTGGGAGGTTTTCCAATACATGACCGGCACTGACAATAAACTGGCTTGCCATGCAGCCAATGGTGTTCTATCTCTTCTTGAAGGGTGTTCTAAATATGACCTTAATGGAGCTATGGTTAGTAATTTTATTTATCTTTGAAGTTTATGACATGAGAACCTTTTTGCTAAACCATATAATTCTACCATTTTTTGTCACCAAGTTCCAGTAGTCTTCCTTTTATTTTCTTTTAATACCTCTAGAGAAATAATGAAGTAAGACAGAGATCAAGATTCCTACAAAGAAGGGGTAGAGTCCGTCGTTTGAAATATACCTGGAAATCAGCTGCATATCACTCAATCAGGAAAAGGATTACTGAGGAAAGATCAGCCATGCCGGCAGTATAATCCATGTAATTGTCAAACAGCTTATGGAAAGCAATGTTCTTGTCTTTTAAATGGAACATGCCGTGAAAAATACTGCGGGTGAGCTATTATTTCTCAAGCTGAAGTGTGTTAAAATATGTCATCAATACTTTCTTCTGCCCTTATCAGTTTTTGATTCTTTGGATGTCTTAGATATTGTCATCTTGATAGATTTATGGTGACAAAGTTGCATTGATGATGATGTTGATTCATTTATTCTGTGTGCTAATATTTTCCTGTTTATCTAGATGTCCTAAGAGTTGCAAGAATCAGTTTAGAGGTTGTCATTGTGCTAAAAGTCAATGCCGAAGCCGTCAGTGTCCATGTTATGCTGCAGACAGGGAATGTGATCCAGATGTTTTTAGAAATTGTTGGGTCAGGTGAGCTCTGATTTTGACTTTTTTTTCTTCCTGTTACAAGCTTCATATTGCTTCTAGCATCCGACCCATAGTCTTGGGGTTCCACCACAAAGAGGTGACAAATTATGAATGCAGAAATATGAAGCTGCTTCTAAAACAACAACAAAGGGTAATGGTGTTTCCTACTCTGCATTTAATTACTCAGATAGGTGCACATGTATGGGTTTGTATATATGCTTCAAACTATTTTTAAGAAACAGCTATTGTAAATTTGCTCCCTGGTTTTGAAATAGCTATTGTAGGTATTAACTTGCTTAACATTTTTGTTCACTGCCAATACCTACATAGAAATGTTTTTTTAAAGAAGTGCCCATCATTTTTATACTTAATTCGTGTCCGGTAGACTGATTCTAACCGACACCAGCAGATTATGGTAGCGAATATTTGTATCTTTATGTTGACAAGGCTTTTCCGATGTATGTACAGGTCTTGCTTGGAAGATCAGATGTTTCTGGATGGGGAGCTTTCCTGAAGGTAACTTAAGAACCGTGCCTTTTCTGTTTTCAACTTGGTGTTTACGTTTTGGCCATCCTTCAGAATAATGTCGGGAAGCACGAGTACCTTGGTGAGTACACTGGAGAGCTGATTTCCCATAGGGAAGCAGATAAGCGTGGAAAGATATATGACCGTGAAAATTCTTCATTTCTTTTCAATCTGAATGATCAGGCATGCCCTTTCATCTTTCTTTTAGAAGGTGCAACTTCTCCTTTTTATGTTCCTAGCAAGTTTTGATTCCATGATTCTTTCATTTTTCAGTTTGCTCTTGATGCATACCGAAAGGGTGACAAATTGAAGTTCGCCAACCATTCTCCTGAGCCTAATTACTATGCCAAGGTACACTATATTCACCTCATGCAAGAAAGACCGTTTTATCAGTATTTGTTGGAGGCCCACATGGTTGTTTTTGCCATTTTTCATTTCAATCTCGAGCTGAACAACTGTCTCGCAGGTAATTGTGGTTGCAGGTGATCACCGTGTCGGTATATTTGCCAAAGAACGAATAAATGCAGGAGAGGAACTATTCTACGACTACCGTTATGAGCCAGACAGAGCTCCTGTGTAACCCTATACCCGGCCTGGACGTTATGTCTAAATCTAGGCGGTAACATATCGTATTCAGAAATTCTTTTTATATTTGAAACATCGTTAAAATCCATAATAAAGATTCATACTATAAACATATATATATACATATATCAGAAAAACATATAAAACATTAATACATATATATTAAGACAGTAGCAAAACACGTGTCACCAAAGTGTAAGAAAGGCATATAGAGATATATAATAGTACAAAAGAATGAGTAGTCGATCCTCTTGATGTCAAGTCTGTTAGTCTAGTTTGCTAATATTTGAAAAGGTTAAAATTTATGGAATGAGTTAAAAAAACTCAGTGTGTCCTTACTGTGTATAAAAACATACAAATAAAATATTTCAGTAAAATCGGTTTATCAAACATGTTTTAAAAATATGAACACTATCTCTGTCAGATCACCAGAATAGGTTCCTCATAACCATACATACACTTGTATATCTAGTAAGGGTTTATTCTGAGCACAAAGCAGAGGAGTCTGCGGTAATGTCTTATATTGTGCACAAAGTAGAGGAGTCTGAAGTAAGAATTTACCTTGAGCACAAAACTGAGGAGCCTGCGGAAAGTGATAAAGTCTTACAAGTAATAGACTAGATATGAGATACTTCCTCTAATAAAAACCCCAATGACAGAAATAGCATGTGTGTAGTCGAATGAAAACGGTAGTTTAATCAATTAAAATATGAAAATATTTAATTTTCAGAAATCAGATACGAAAATACGGTAATCCAGAGATCATATAAGAAATGTGCAATAAATCAGATATCAGATAAACCGTATTTAGAAAATCAGGTATTGTGTTGTAAAAATATTCAGTATTATCATAAATCTCAAACAGTTCAAAAAGATAGTTTAAAATAGTAATGTAATACCAAGATCCTACGAATTGGAAAATTAATATCGGAATCCTAATATGAATTATATTAACCTTTATTTAAATAATTTACAGAAACATACAGGTATCTCTCGTAAAACACGGATTGAGCGGGTCTAATGGACGAAAAACATCGGATCTAACTGACTCTCGGTCAGGTGAAACAAGTGTACATTCATAAAAATATATTATTGGATCAATTCTATAACCAAATCTCAAATAAATAAGCAAAAAAGTTAAAAATAATAAGTATTTTCAAGTTAACGAGCTCCATTCGGAGCTTTCCGGTTAGAATTTGGCAAAACGAGCTTCATAATCGAACTCAGGACGTCAAAAAACATAAAATATGACTTTTCGAAAATTTTGACTTTTTTGATTAAAGTCAACGGTCAATGATCAACGGTCAAACGACCAGACAACAGTTAATAGATCAATGATTCGTATTGGATCGGGTCGAGTCGGGTTGTGCAGGCGTGTTGGGTTAGCGGGTCGAGTCGGATCTGCCTATTTCCAAGCAGTCCATCAGGATGTGAACTTTCCCCACGCGTAGAGGCGGTGCGTGGGGGCACGTGCATGGCCTACAGGGTCGAAAAAATTCTAAAAAATTTTCTAAGTGCATTTTAAGGGGTTTTGAGACACTTACCAAACTCGACTCACAATAGTGAACTACAGAGAGTTTGATTTAGAAACGTCGGAAACTTTATCTTCCTCACCCCTTTACACGCCGATGACAATGGAGACAAAGACATCGGTAGACTCGGGACGACACAAATAATACGATGGTGTGGGAAGTGTAAAAAACGGAGCAACAATCATCGACGAAATGACGATCAAAGATTTATTTCTAAAAGAAGAAAATATTGAAGAGAGAGAAAATAAAATAATTTGAAATTTTTCTTTATTTTGGGTATATAAATCCTAAAAAAGAAAATAAAAAAATCATGTCATAGGTACTCTATCTTTAGTTGCTTTTTTGAATTTGGATCTAAATTTAATTAAAATTTCACTTTGATCCTCGAATATAATTAAAATTCAATTTAATCTTAAAAAAAATTAAGAGAATTTTAGGCCCTAATTTAAGGTGTGACATCCTGCATGGGCTAGAAAAGCCGAGGCATCTGGGTACCAAGAAAGAGGATGGCGCTCCGTCGAGCGGACGAGCTAAGAAACTTGCCTAACCTTACTATTTATTTACATCCTATATTCAAATTTTTTGCCATTCTTTCAGAGGTAAAACTTGGAAAGATCATTCTCATTTGGCATTGATAGACGATAGGAAGAATGAATGTTGTCACTTTTTTATGTTTGGGGAGGGAAGTGGAGGGAAGGGGAGTGACAATGTTCAAACTAGACAATGATGTTAATGTTATTTAATTACTAAAACAGTGGAACTATCCACTAATCGAATAGAGGTTCATGTGGCACTAAGATGTACGATATGCATATTTATTATCAAGTATATTATCAGTTAAAATGTAAATTGAATACTCTAGACAGATTAAAAGGTAGCATTATTCAAAAAAAAATTAATCATTGACAATACACATATACCTTGTAGATATAATTTTCCGAACTCAAAATCTCTATGATGAATAACACTCTTTTTAACCATTGAAATTGTTTAATGAGTTTCAATTTAAATATATGTATGTGTCATATTGTGCCAAACAAAAATCTAGCGTGCTAGATGTATAATTTTAAAGGCAAGTAATCATTATTAGCAACTAAACACTTAATTTAATTAATTTTTTTTTACTAAATTCTATCATTTTCAAGATAATAATTTTAGTCCAACTTGATTTTTTTGGAGTATATTTATGTGCAAGTTAGGATTATCATCTTGTCTATCTTAAGATAAGCTTGTATTAATCATTAGGGGGTTATAATTTCAACTACATTATTCTAAACTATTTGACTAGATTATTAATCAAATAAGAAAATTTTTAATTCTAAAAAATGTTTCGTAGAGGCTTGGATTTTTATCCATCTTGTCTATCCTAAGATAAATTTGCAAGTTAGGATTACCTTTTACAACTTTAATTTTTTTTAAACAATGTTAAAAAAATGCGCTAAAAATAGAAAAAAAAAAGCTGAATAGGGCGATGTTGAAGTGGAGTAAATGTACCGAATAAACGTGGAGTTTTATATTGCCTTGAAAACTATTTGTGTTAGGCAAAGATTCTTCGACTTCATTTGAGCAAATATCTCATTCTCTCATATTTTCTTAAATCATGAGTTTTGTATTCATTAAAAACATTCTTCTTTCTTCTTATATAGTTTTTTTTCCATTTCCTTTAGGTAAGATTATGATTAGATTTAGAGTTTGTCAAAAAATAAAAAAAAATCTTCAACCCCATTTGACCTAACCCTAATTATTATTAAGGCAAACTACCTATTTGGCTATTTATCTCTTATTTAGTTTCTATTTTAGTCCCAACTATTATTTTTTCAAAATCACACCTAATGTTACGTTTGAGTTTTGTTTTGGTCATCTGTAGTTAAAAAAATTAAAGGTGATACTGACATGTCACCATAAGGTATTGTCATATCAGTAATGAAATATAATAAAAAAATTCATATTAATATCACTGTTAATTTTTAAACAACGAGCGACTAAAACGTAACATTATGTATGATTTAAAAAAATTAATAGTTGAATGATCGAAACATAAACTAAATAATAGGAGAGTGATCAAATAAATAGTTTACCCTTATTATCATTGTTTTATTAAAAGAACTTCAGTGTATGTTAAAGATTTACGAAATTAAAATTTGGGTTGAATTTCATGAATAAGGGGGCATAATCTAACGAGGATCACAATCATGATTAGGTGAAGAAAATCTTCACAATTTCTTAAATATTATACCTTTAGACAAAGAAAATTTATATATATATAATATATATAGCATTTAAGAAGCAATAACATTGGGATGTTATTATAATTATTATTAGTAATCTGATATTTTTTATGTTCAATAACCACATAAATTTAATTATATTTAGAGTCAAATTAAATTATATTTTTGAGTAGAGTGCAAAATTTTCACAAAACATTTTTTATTCATAAAAATTAAAACTCTAAATTTTATTCAAAGACGTTAAATTGTATATAACTCGACCTAACAGGACGTTGAGACGTTACTTATATAGAATATAGATATAATTTAGCACGTTTTTTAAATTATGATAAATTATAATATATCAGATATTATTATTTTGAACCATCACGTGCATATTTTAATCCATCCTAGACTCATAACAATGAATTTACCATATAGCCATCCTTGTGTGTATAATATATAGCCAATCACGTGTGTGGCATTATGCCAAGTACCATATATTGACGAGGATTTCCAGTATTTAATCCTTCCACGTGATTTGATATATTTTTAGTATTAAGATTTAGTTTTAGATAATTGATATGATAATCCCTAATCATTACTAATTAATTTGCTTTTCAGAACCAAAGAAAGAGGGGTTTGGTGAATTAGAACACCTAAACCTTTGGGAATTAAATTATTTGGTGTTGGTCCCACTTGGATTCTAATTAGTGAATACATATCTGTGTTACATGCTATTTTAATTGAGATTGTAGTGATAATGTCATTTTTCTTAAAATTTTGTAGGATATGTTTAGTTGAATCCCGACTAATAAAAACTACAAAATGACTCCCAATTATAAGGAGTTACTTTGTTGAGTTCTTAGACTATTAAAGGTTATAAAATGACCACATGACTATTCATTATACGATAGTCTAAATTGAACGTTAACATGTTGATTGAGGTATGATAAAATTTGATCTCATAATCTCAAACGACTATCATATCTCAGTCAACATGTTAATGTCCAACTTAGGCGACCATTAATTTTTTAACCGAAAATGACGAGTTTGGAACATAATGAATAGTCAACGACCATTTTATAATTTTCAATAGTCGAGGGACTCAACAAAACAACTTACTATAGTTGGAGGATCATTTTATAATTTTTAATAATCGAGAGACACAATAAAACAATATTCTATAATTGAAGATCATTTGTATACCTTCCCGTTTTATGTTTCCATGATCAGTAAATTTATCTCAAATTTCAAGTATAGGTAAGATTTTACATCCAAAATAATATATATTAAAATTATTTCTTATTTTAACACTTATATTCTATTATTTTTTTAGTTTGACATATTTGCTGATTTATGTAAAAGTCAGTCGAATTAGGTTAAAATGAAAGAAAAGAAAAAAAAGTTCAAATATTTGAAAAAAAAAATATGAATTTTATCCAATAAGAACAAATGCACACAATGCTTGTTGAAGACACATAAATGTAAGAGCGTTAGCAGAGTCGGATGATGGTAGCAGCGCAAATGTAATAGCATTATGTTCAACTACTCTATGAATACATATTTAAAAGAGCTATATTTAAATACTTAAAAAATTACATATCTACATTGTGAGATTTGAGAGAGCTTTCGAATTTCACTTTGTTTAGATATATACAAATATTCAAGGGTTTAAATATAACATTTTAAACATGTATTTATTGAGTGATTAATCATAAGACTAATACATGTGCATCGTCGGCATTGCATGGCTCTTACAATTATGTGTCATCGACACGCACTGCTCGTGTTTACTTTTTTTTTAGAACAAAATTTGTATACTTTTTCATATTTTTAATCCATATTTTTCATTTTCTTTCATTCCAGCCTAATCAGAGTAATTTTTGTAGAGGAAAATAGAAGACGCTTCCTATAAAGCGCACTATTTGCTACATCAACAGAAGACTCTTCTTGTAAAATACGTATATGGTCAAATTAATAAAATACACTTTATGTAAAATATGCTTTTATTTATGTGACAGAAAATAGTACTATTCTTAAAATTAATCGATTTTAAGGTTTAGAATAGAAAATAAATTTTAATAAGATATATTTGGGTTGAAAAGAAAAGCCTCTTCTCGAAGCTCATACGGTGAAGGTAAAGCATATGGCTTATCGGTTGGCCTGCCCTGTTCTAAAGTCAACGTAGACGACAAACATAAGTTTTCAGACATTGCTTGGGTTCACATTCCATGAAATATTAATCAAAGTCAAAGTGGTTCTGAAACTAACTTTAATCCAACTTTAACTTTTCAGAATATAACACACGGATTGGTAAACTGAGATGTTTCACCATTACAACTCTCAAATATTAGATTTTGACCAACAATTTACCCACCATTCTCAACAACAATGGCGGATGCACCTGTACTTTAATATAAGTGTACATGTTTCTACTTTAAAATTTGAATTTTTTATAATTAGTTATTTATTTTATTAAATTTGTTTATTTCAAAATTTTAGTTACGTTCATTCCATACAAAAGGTTATGTTGTTGATATATATATACTTACCCTAAAAAATATTTTTGAGTTTGCCATTGAGAACAAATAATTATTAGATCAATTTGATTTGATACCTGAAGTTGAACTCAAACATCCTATACATGTAACTGAATGCATATGAGATTAAGGAGTAAGAAGCACGAGTTCGACGTGAGAATAATTAAATAAATTTGTATTTTATCAAAAAAATATTAATATATATTATTTAGATTGTAGATTTGATTTATATACATTAATTTGATATTTTTAATTTATATTATTTTGTAAATTTTAAAATAATAAATCAACATATAAAAACTAAAGTAAGAAAGTAATATCATAATTTGAACTTGTATTTTCTATTCAAATTAAATCCCAATAACTTAGCAGCCCAAGAAATTATGAATAGTTCATATTTGATTTTCTAGAAAAACTAAGCTTCAATATATTTGTTGAGAAATGAATTGTACAAGAATAAATAAAATAGTGCATGCTAAAATAAATTAATAAAATAATGGGCTGTACAATGTGTGACCACCTAAGTAGCCAATCACAACTCTTGATCACCAAAAAGAAAAGTCAGTCCACTTAAATGTTTTATAATTAATTTTACAAATTTTGATTGAGGCTAAATCCCATCTTCTTCTACCTCAAGCTGATCCAGCTGCCGCAAGAACTCCAGTTAGGCGCCTCATGGCAAGCTAATTCTCCAATCCGATTCAAAGCCGACGAAATACGGCTTGAATTTTCTCGGGAAATCAATTCATCAGTCGAAATCCAATCTGGAAAATCAAAAGGACATCTCGGAGATACCGAGAATTCTTCGAAACAACATTGTGAAGACGTTGAAGGAAATGGAACAGTTGTTTCATCGTCGGCAACCATGAAAGGATGGTTCAGGAGCATCTCAGTCGTCCATCTCTTGCTTGGATCCCTGGAAAAACACTTTCCCAGAAAATCTTTTCCTTCCTCGGATAATTCCGTAGGAATCCCAGGCAATTCATCGCCGACCCCGATTTTAATAAACAAATCCGCCATGTTTGAGCCTGGTTTCAAATTCCAAGCTGTTTTTCCGGTAAACATCTCAACAACAACGCAGCCGAGTGCCCAAATATCCACCGGAAAATCATAAACGTTTCCATTGATGGACTCCGGCGCCATATTCAAAGGCGTTCCCCTGATTTCGAACTTCCCCTGTTTCTCACCGTTTCTCTTCGCCAATCCAAAATCAGCCAACTTGACATCACCGTTACCAAACAGAAGAACGTTTTGAAGCTTAACATCGCAATGAACAAGTCCTTTGGAATGAACAAAGTTTAGCCCTCTGAGTATCGATTTAGCGAATCTTTTAACATCAGATTCCGTCCATCCCCCACCATTTCGCTTAACGTGATCGGCCAAGCTTCCTTTATCAGCATACTCCAAGAACAAATTGTAAAACTTCCCACAATTCTCGACGCTATAATCGTCGCCGAGACAACGGATGATTTGCGGGCAAGAGCCGAGTTGATCCAGCACTTGTTTCTCGTGCCTGAGTGAAGCCGAGTTATGAGTTTCGCAACGCTTGACAACCGTTAATGGGGATTTCGAAAACCCTGTTTTTGGTAACACCAAATTCACAGTGCCGAAACTCCCATATCCAATCATTTCTCCTGGAACCCACTCCATGGATTCAGCTCAAGAAATAGAAGCCTTTTTAGTGATTTGATTCTTTGAGAAAAAGAAAAAGAAAATTGCAAATGAGAGCAAACAGAGGTGACAGAACTATGGTGGCGCTAAGTGCTTATATATAAATGTGGGATTTTATTTGGTGGACGTTCAACTCTCGTGTACGCTAAGAAAGGTCGTATATTAGCACGTGATAGGCAAGGATGTTTTATTTTTATTTGATTTTTCCAAATTTGGATATAAAATATAACTGCTTTAGACTACCAGTTTTGAAACGTGGTCCATATGCCCGATCCATAAGATCTTCACTCGATGCCACGTGGATTTAGATATTCATATTTTTTTAATAATATCTACATTCTAAATTTCATTAAATTTCAAATTTTTCCTTATCTTCCCCTGCTTTGCACTTGGGATGTTTCATGAGTTGTTGTCATGAATTTTCTTTTAATTATCTACTTAATTAAGCATTTTAATCTAAAAATGGAACATTAACAAAAAAATATCTATCATGCACACTCAGAAAAAATCTGTCACGTTACACATTCAAAAAGAGTAACATATAAATATGCAAGTAGAACGTACTAAAATTTGAACTTTGATACCTTATTGAATATTTATTTTTTAGAATTAATTGTTAATGAAAGAAAAAAATATCTTGGTAAATATCATTAATTCTAAAACACAGAAAGATCCTATATGACAACTAAACGAATAGTTAATAGCTGATTGCATTAAATGATTTAATTAATTGTTTGTTTTAACTGATTATATATAATTTTTTATACAATTATCTGGTAACTGATGGTTGTGTATTTATTTGAACAAACAAAATATCATATAATAACATGATTATATTCAATACTTGTTTAAATATTTTATTGATAACCAGTATTTGATATTGATTAATTATTAAAAAAATCATTACTAACATATAAAGACGTGTTTACTAGACGTATTTGAAGGATGTATAAATTAATTTCTTAATTATCTTTTTTAATAGGATTTGATAATTTGTTAAATTTAAACGATATTTGAAGCATAAGTATTAATCTAATTTATTTGAAGGGAAAACAATTATTTTAGAGAATGCGTGATACAATATAAGCATATACAAATTACTAAAAAAAATACAACATAAATGTAAAAAGAATAAAAAAGAAAAAAAAATAATTTACAAATATCACCATTTACATTAGTAGTGACAAAAAAACATTCTGTATACTTAATATTTTTTTTACAAGGTGATACGTCGTAAATTTTGTATGTTATATATCTTAAAATTTATTATAATATTGTTACATGTCTCAATTTTCGATGTAAACGAATTTTTATCTTTATGATCCTTTAGGTAAACATACTACATGTGTGAACCTTTGGGAACATGAATGTAAAATCCATGTAAATTCTTAGACACTTATAACGCACCTACAAGTAACCACATATCAATCACCTAATATCCTTGCGAATACATCCTTGTAACATCATCGATGATCACATGTCGATGATCACATAATCACTTAGTTTAAGTCTTCACATCTAATCAACACTAATGACACGATAATTCCTAACTAACATTTATCCAAGGCATTATAAACACTCATCCAATAAAAATAGGAGGACAAGCACATTTCTGATTTCTCCACTGCAAACCACCAACATTTTTAAAACTATTTGAATCACCACCGAAACCACGCTTCTATCACATTCCATCATTTTCTATGGTTGTGATCACTTTATCAATCAACAAATATAAAAGTAGGTTAACATGATGATAACAAATTAAAATCCCCTACCATGCGAGTTTCATGAAATCCTCGTTGTTGCATTAACAGATAAGAATTAGCCTAAATTGTTTTTTTAGTAAAATAAAAAAATTAAAGAATTGTTAATGGATATAAAGCCAAATTAATCGTATCATAAATCGAATTTTTTAATGAAAGCAAATCATGAATAAGGCCAAATTGTGTGATTGAGTTGTCCTACATTCAACTTATTATATTTTAGTAAAAATAGAGTTTTTATTTATGATAATAATAATAATCTAAAATCAAGAATTTTGAATCGTTGTGAGAACTTCAATTTTCGTAAGAGAAACGGAAGAAAAATGATAATGAAAGAGCGGTGATCGGTAATTAGATAAGGCAGAAACCCACATCAGTCGAAAGATAAATCAAACCGTCGTTGAAAGACGACGATGCGACCGAATTGTAGTGACGGTAAAAGTGCAGCATGCAATGCACCAAGTGTGGAGTTTTAGTCAAACATATTATATATAAAGAAATATAGGTTCTTTTTAGTGGGGTCGGGCTCTCTGAGCTCATGCAAATGCAGCCCTCAAACTAAAAAACTATTTATTGAGTCTATTAATTATTAAAGGTTACAAATTGGTCTTCAATCATAAGATATTGTTTTGTTAAGTTCATTGACTATTAAAAGTTATAAAATGATCATTTGACTATTAATATGTTTCAAAATCGTCATTTTATGTTAAACAATTTGTGCACGTATGAGATGCATGTTAAATTGCAGACCGAGATATGATAAAATTATATTTTAATGATGTCTGCTGATATCATTGTTGCTTTTAAACACTGGCTCGATAGTATAATGTTTCAAACACTAACTCGACTGCATAATATAAACGGAGATTCGATCCATAAAATACAACTAAAATGAATTTAGGATCATATTTTATTATATTTGAGTCAATAATTTAACGTCCATCTTAAACGATCGTCGATTTTTTAATGAAAATGGTGAGTTTGGAACATATAAATAGTGAGATGACCATTTTGTAACTTTTAATAGTCGGAAGACTCAACAAAACATCACCTTATAGTCGATAATCATTTTGTAAATTTTAATAGTAAGATGACTCAATAAAGCAATACCCTATAATACGATGACCATTTGTGTGCTTTACTCTTTTTTTAACTATAGTATCCAATCAATTAATTCAGATAAAAAAAATGATATTGTCAAATGAATTTGTTCTATATTAGAATTTAAACCTTGTGCGAAAAATTTAGTACCTCTTCAACTAAGAAGATAAATTGTAAACAAACACATACATTTTCCAACTATTTGCATATAAAATAATGGGTTGAAACGTGTAAAATTGTATTTCAAACTCAAGTCAATGTAACTAACTCAAATAATATAACTAGAGTTGCTTAGATGCTACATTCATTCACTTGATTTCTTTGAATAAGCTGTGATTATTCGAATCAAGTATAAATAAATAATAAAGCTTAGAATTTTAGTCTGATATGACCTTTGTTGCGACAGAAAAGTGCTATATAAATAAGTTGTATGTGCCCCAACTTTGGTTGGCATTCAAAGTCCGAACTTTTTAAACAAATGACAGTTGACAAGTGCTAAGATTTCATAATTATCTCTAAAGAATTTTAAAATTAGTTTAATTGTATCCAAAAGCAAATTAAGGATTTTTAAAACTAGGGGATCCGACACAATGTTTCAAATCTTAATGTGGGTCAGCCCCATCATTGTTTTTAGGTGCCTTCGGATTAACTGTAACGCCATGAAATTCGATATGAAAATATGACTTAAATAAATCAAATATTGGGATTTTATAATTTTGGTCATAAGTAAAAGAATTGTAAAGTTCAGAAATTCAGAACCATTTCCATGAGTTCCAATATGTTCAAGGACCAAACCTATGAATTCCCATTCTTATTCATTTTTAAGACGAAAAACGAAAAGAAGATGCTTAGATCGAGGCAAGCAATCCATGGAGAAGGACGACATCGAGAGTAACGAGGGTATGGACTTGGTTTGATAATGTTTATTTTTGCCAACGAGCGTGGAAGCCAAAAGTAAAAAAAGTTGGATACATTCGAGAAGAGTCGAGCGTGCCCAAGCCGTTGAAGGACAGACGGTCTAGGGGTGTTCAAATGTACCCGGCTTCAACTACCTCATATGTCGACTCATTGACTTGGTGTAAAATTATCGGGTATTTTAGATGTAAATACCTAATTTTTCGGGTCGGGTATCCGGCTCGTTATTTTTGGCAGGTTTTTGGGTCGGGTCCGAGTCACAAAATTATCCTTAACTGGGTACACGCCGACCTAATTTCTCTTTCTTTTTTTTTTAAATTAGATTTTTCATTTTTAGTTTCAAAATTATTTCACCCTAACATTCTAAATCTCTATTTTTTTTTCAAATTATTTCACTTTAACATTTAATTATTTATTAAATTATTTCTTTTAATCTCAATTATTTCTTTTAATCTCAATTATTTCAAATTTAGTTGTAATTTTATAATTTTATAATTTTTTTTTGTATTTTTAGATTATATAAGTTGAATTTATAAATTTTATGTTTATATTATGTATTATAAATTTTTAAGTTTTAAATTTTATATTTTTTCCGTGGATTTTTTTTAAATTAATATAAATTAAAAAAATGTAATGAATATTAAACAGGTACCCGTGATCCGAAAATGCGGGTACCCAACTTACAAGTACTCTCTCTTATGGGTCGGGACCAAACTTTTGTCACCCGAAAGTCTCGGGTACTCGGATTTGGACACCCCTAATAGACACCACCCATGATAAGGTGAGAGAAACACAGCAGACCTCGAGGATGAAGGGTTGATGTAAAAAGGTACACTAGATTTCAAGGAAGAAAGGCTGATGCAAGAAGAGAGCATCGAACTTCAGGAAAGAAAATTGATGAACATCAAAATTCGTGGACAAAAAAGGGTCGACACATTTTAAAGTAAATGTGGCTAATGAGAAACCGAGGGAAGTACATCTCAAACATATACTTAGAGTTTTACAATCTGATTTGCAATCTTTGATGAGTGTAGGTCTAAATAGACCCAACTATCAATATGGAGTGGCCAAACGTTGAAATAAGATAAGGTCTTTGTCGAAGGATAAAAGGATCTAGGTTTAGGAAAATCAAGACGAGTAAGACGAGATTCTTACGACCGAAATGTACGCAATGGAAATGGAAATTGTGATGTTACATGGGGACTAAAGCTTAGGCAACCAATTCATATGGGGATCACCCACAAGCAGAGACACCGAGGAATATCTACGGTGATCAAGTCCAAGAACGTTCTAGTAGATCGACAAGGGTGTCGCTAGATTTGGTGAGGGAGTATGTCATGGCCTATGAGTTAGGGTCTAAGATGAGTGTGCAAATATCCACAAAAAAAAGGTTTTGTACGGAGTGTTTAGCTTACCCAAACCACCAGGCTTGACCCAAACCTTGAAGGATAAATTATATTTTATTTGATTCCTTAATTTAAGAAGATAATTGCTTAAATTAAATGGATAATGTTAAGATAATAGCTGATTTAAATTTAAATCCCTTAGATAAGATAAGAAATTTGTTAAATGAGATTCAATCTCAACAATCGATGTAATTTAATTTAAACCGTTGGATGTTAGGGGACTTAACCTTAATAGGTGTGTTTGTCGCTTGTGAGCTTAATTCTTAGAAGGACCTGATAAAAGCTTACTTAGGCGCTCATTCAACCGAGAAGTCTAAAGCTACTCAGATAAGCTAATTGAAACTCTAGCCCTTGACATATACAACGAAGACAACTTTTTATTATTTTCTAATATAGCATAATTCACTTGACTAACCCTACGTTTGGTCAGACTGTATTAGATCAACATTTAACAAATCAATGGCTTTAGTTAACTAATCAACATTTAACTATCAAGTTATCTTTAACATATTAATGTATCTGAAGGATTGTTACAAACTGATTCCTTTTGCTGGCTCTTCTGATGAATGGATCAAAAAGAGGTCGCCCGTGAGGTCAGAAATCTGAATGACAATCCTTTATCCCATTTCGGCTCCCCACATTGTTTTTCCCCTTAAAAACATACATTTGGAGAAGAAAAGTATTTGTTGACGAAAACGGGTAAAGAAAACAAAATAACACGAGAATTTTACGAGGTTCGGCAATGTGCTTACGTCCTCGGTGCCTAGGCGGCGCTAGAAGTTTTTATTCAATGATATTTTAGGTCTAGGTTACATCTCTATTTATAATAGAAAACCCTGGTACATAATTACAAAATTAACCCTGTACCGTACCGCGGGGGCTGCGCCCCCGCACCCCCAACCCACATAATTCGTAACCCCACAACGAGACTTTCTTTGTAAGGACAGTTGATGTTCGCTTCGCTCACTCCGCTCCATCTCCTGTCCTCTTTACTGGTATATTTATGAGCCATACCTAACAAATCTCCACCTTGGCGAATATCCTGCCTCTTGGAAAATTCAATATGGGTTGGGTTACCTTGATTCTTTAACAACTCGAAACATTCAACAAGTCCAAGCAATGCTTGAACTTGTATGTCGTAACTGGCTTAATGAACATATCAGCGGCATTTTCATCAGTATGTACCTTCTGAAACAAAACCTCTCCAGATGCAACCAACTCTCTGATCTTGTGGAACCTTACATCAATATGTTTAGTTCTAGCACGATACACCTGATTCTTAGCCAAGTGAATAGCACTTTGATTATCACAAAGCAACTGAACTCCACCTTGTTGAACACCCAACTCCTTCACTAAACCAGTAAGCCATAAAGCTTCTTTTGCAGCTTCAGCCGCTGCCATGTACTCAGCTTCAGTTGTAGATAGAGCCACAATAGATTGAACAGTAAACTTCCAACAAATAGGCCCTCCACCAAGAGTAAAGACATACTCTGTCGTAGATCTTCTATTATCCAAGTCACCTGCATTGTCTGAATCCACATATCCTACAACCAAAGGATTATCCCGCTGACTCCCAAAAATAATTCCATGTCCCACAGTACCCTTTAAGTACCGAAAGATCCACTTGACTGCTTCCCAATGTTGCTTACCAGGTTTAGACATGTACTTACAAACTTGACTAACAGCATGAGCTAAATCAGGACGAGTACATACCATCGCATACATCAAGCAGCCAACAGCATTAGAATACGGAACCTTTGCCATATCTTCAGCTTCCTTATCTGTCTTGGGGCACTGTTCTGATGAGAGCTTAAAGTGATCCGTCAATGGAGTGCTAACTGGTTTCGCGCTGCTCATCGCAAACCTTTATAGCATTTTCTCAACATAACCCCGTTGAGATAGCCGCAGTTTCCTTGAGTCTCTGTCCCTGCAAATTTCCATTCCAAGAATTTTCTTTGCAGCACCTAAATCTTTCATATCAAATTCCTGACTCAATAAAGTTTTCAAACCGATAACATCATCCATGTTCTTCGCAGCAATCAACATATCATCAACATACAGTAATAGAAAAATAAAAGAACCATCATCAAGGCTCTTAACATAGACACAACAATCATACTCACATCGGTTGTAGCCAATCTTGATCATATAGGAGTTAAACCGTTTATACCACTGTCTCGGAGACTGTTTCAACCCGTACAAAGATTTCTTCAATCTGTAAACTAAATGCTCGTTTCCAGGTTGAGTGAAACCTTCAGGTTGCCGCATGTAGATCTGCTCCTCTAAATCACCATGCAAAAAAGCAGTTTTAACATCCATCTGCTCTAAATGCAAATCCCAACTAGCCACCAATGCAAGTACTGCTCGGATTGAAGTGTGCCTGACCACAGGAGAAAAGATTTCATCATAATCAACTCCTTTCTGCTGTGAAAAACCCTTCGCTACCAAACGAGCCTTGAACTTCTCCCCCTCTTTTTCTGTTACTACTGGTTTCTTCTTATACACCCATTTGCAACCAATCGGCTTCTTACCCTCAGGAAGGGGAACTAACTCCCATGTGCGATTGTGATTCAAAGACTCCATCTCCTCAACCATGGCTGCCATCCACTTGTCGTTTTCCTGACTAGTAACGACATCATGAAAAGTAACCGGATCATCACTGCTAACAATAAGTGCAAAAGATACCAAGTCTTCAAAACCCAATCTGTTCGGAGGCTTTATATTCGTCCGTCTCACCCTGTCTCTGGCGAGACTATAATCCTGCAAATCATCCGTAGTGGAACCACCAGAAGTCGGTTGAGAAGTTTCTGGTTTCTCAACTGGAAACTGCTCGAAATCCACCACTTTCGTGTCTTGCTTCTGCTGCAACATGGATTGTTCATCAAAAACGACATCTCTACTAATCACAACTTTCTTCGCAACTGGATCCCAGAACTTGAATCCTTTGACACCTTTCTTGTAACCCAGAAAAATGCACTCCTTCGATTTTGCATCAAGTTTGGATCTCTCATCAGCAGGTACATGCACATAAGCAGGACAACCAAAAATCCGTAAGTTATCAAAACTAACATCATGACCAATCCATACCTCTTCTGCAACTTTCCCAGCCAGCGATGCCCTTGGCGATCTGTTGATAAGGTAACACGCCATGTTAACAGCCTCAGCCCAGAAGTGTTTGGGAAGCCCCGCATTCAACCGCAAACATCTGGCTCTTTCATTCAACGACCTGTTCATTCGTTCCGCAACACCATTCTGTTGTGGTGTCTTGCGCACTGTAAAATGCCTCTGAATCCCATGCTCCTTACAGAATTGTAGGAACTGTGAATCTGTGTACTCCGTACCATTGTCAGACCGCAAACACTTGATTTTTGTCCTGTTTGGTTTTCTACCTCAGCTTTCCACAGCTTGAACTTCTCAAAAACTTCAGATTTCTGTTTCAAAAAATACACCCAAACTTTCCGTGAAAAATCATCAATAAAAGTAACATAGTACCTAGATCCACCCAAAGACGATGTCGTGGAAGGCCCCCATACATCAGAATGCACATAATCAAGAATCCCTTGAGTTGTGTGCTTCGCAGTCTTGAAACGGACTTTAGTCTGTTTACCAAGAACACAATACTTGCAAAAGTCGAGCTTACAACTTTTGACACCATGCAACAAGTTTCTCTTGTGTAATTCTGCCATACCACGTTCACTAAGATGAGCAAGGCGCATATGCCACAGTTTTGTCGTATCATCATAGGACTCAACAGAGTGAACTCCACCTGCAACGGTACTCCCTAACAATCTGTAGATATTCCCTGCAGTCATCTTGCCTTTCATCACAGTCAATGCTCCTTTAACAATCCGAATGGTTTCCCTATCCTCGTCAGCCTTAGGGATAAAACCATTCTTGTGCAAAGTGCCCAAGGAAATCAAATTCTTCTTCAAGTCTGGGATATGTCGAACACCACTCAACGTCCGAACGGAGCCATCGTGCATCTTAATTCTGACATCACCAATACCAACAATATTGCAACATCGATCATCACCCAAATAAACCGAACCAGAATTAACCGGCCTGTATGTCGAAAACCATTCCCTATTTGGCGTGATGTGATAAGAACATCCAGAATCAAGAATCCAAGCATCCGTCAATTGTGTCGTTGAAATAGAAAGCATATCACCCTCACTGCAATCAGAATTATCATCCTCGACCACGTTCACAGACTTGGATGAGCCATCACGCTTCTCATCTGTCTGCTTTTTCAACTTCGGACAGTCTCGCTTCATATGTCCCGCCTCCTTGCACTTGTAACAGTGAATCGTCTTCTTATCCCTGGATTTGGATCTGGAATTCCGCTTCCCGGACCCTGCCTTCTCTGGCTTCCGTCCACGATCTCGATTACCCTTGACATATAAGCTATCGGCTTGAGAGCTTTCCCTGCATTCTGCTTCCGCTGGTTGTGAGCCAACAAGGCTGCAGTAATCTCCTCAACATTGATAGTCTCTTTCCCATATGTAAGAGTAGTCACCATGTGTTCGTAAGAGGGAGGCAACGAACACAACAGAATCATCGCTCTATCTTCATCCTCAATTTTCACATCAAGCCGAGCCAGATCAGAAACGATTTGATTGAAGACATTCACGTGTTGCGCCAAATCGTGATCGTCCTGCATCTTCAGCCCATACAGCCGCTGCTTCAGATACAGTTTTGTCGTTAAGGATTTGGACATAAACTGACTTTCCAACTTCCTCCAAATTTCGTCTGGAGACGATAGATGCATGACATGATACATGACCTCGTCCGCCAAGCATAATCGTATGGTTCCTACCGCTCGCTGCTGCAATTCTTCCCAATCTTCCTCATCCATCGACGCCGGCTTTGTAGATCGCAAAGCCTTCAAGATCCCTTGCTGCGCCAATAGATCCTTCACCCTCGTTTGCCATAATCCGAAGTTACCCTGACCATCGAATTTCGCGACTTCGAATTTTGCTCCTGACATCTGATACCAATTGTTGACGAAAACGGGTAAAGAAAACAAAAGAACACGAGAATTTTACGAGGTTCAGCAATGTGCTTACGTCCTCGGTGCCTAGGCGGCGCTAGAAGTTTTTATTCAATGATATTTTAGGTCTAGGTTACATCTCTATTTATAATAGAAAACCCTGATACATAATTACAAAATTAACCCTGTACCGTACCGCGGGGGCTGCGCCCCCGCACCCCCAACCCACATAATTCGTAACCCCACAACGAGACTTTCTTTGTAAGGACAGTTGATGTTCGCTTCGCTCACTCCGCTCCATCTCCTATCCTCTTTACTGGTATATTTATGAGCCATACCTAACAGTATTGATGATGGTCAGGGAAACCTAAGCCACTTCACACCACATACGTGTTTTATAATTACAGCTTTAAACGTTCTTACAGGAATTGTTATCAGGATATTGATAGCCAATACCATGACGGACCTAATTTTCTAGAGCCCTCTTCTTTTTTACAAAGTCTTGATGGAACAAGAAGATTATATCGGTTTGAACGGTTCACTCCTTCTGATTTGGACAGATAATCGTGTTAGAAAAATGATTGAGTGATATTGGTGCTACTTATAATAAGTCATAGACTTATTAATAATTAGTCAGGTCACTGGGTGAATATACTTAATTTTTTATCAGAACAAATCCCTAGAGTTTAGAAAGCATCTTCTCAAGGACTCTATCCCCTCGGTAACTCTTGTCCTTTGGTGAATCTTTTCAAAGGTGATTTTAATAGGTTGAAGAGGAGCTGTGTTATTGGAAGTGAGATTATATATTCGGAAGTATAGCATAAAATAAGAGAATTGATCCATGCGAATTAAAGCATTTGGATTTAACTTGCATTTTAAGGTTAGATTTTTCTGGTGTGTCATATAATCTATGAAATCTTTCAAATCGTAGGACGACTAGCCCGAATGATTACAGTGAGGGTTTTTGTGGTGTTAATTTTAATTCAAGCTAATACAACAATTCTCACAAACTCCCTACAAGAGCCATCTATATAAGATTCCAATTCATTGAGACAGACAAATGCTGTCATCGGTTGCGATGGACAATCTCAAACAATCTCGCATTTGGTGAGAGTTCTGGGGTTCGACCAATGAAATGTTAAGATCATTGCTTCAGTTAATGACTACGAGGAAGCTCTACATAGCGGAAGTATAAAGGCTCGGTGGCGGATCTACGTCTTATTCAGAGTATGTACTTTTCCATTATAAATTTTTTTTTCCTATTAATTATATATTTTACTGATTGTTTACAAAAGTTTATTTATGTTTCTTCCATATAAATTTTTATATTATTAATATATACAAGTGTGTATCTTCGAAAATATTTTTAGATCTGTTGTAAAAGCTGCCTTCCTTTTGACGCTCTATGCCAAAATTCTCCTTGTAATCAAATCAATTCGATTCTCTACAATTCCCTTTTCCCCCTCTGCAGACCTTTGTTTTTCATCGTTTGCTTTATGTTTTATGTTGCAGGTATGTCCCTTTGAGAGAAGTGGGGAATTGCAGCGTATGGAGGAAGAAATATCAGCCTTTTTGGAGTGTTGAAGGACCCCATTTGAGGATGAACATGTAATAGCAGGGTCATTTATGGGTGTTTTTGTTCTCTGTGGCGGTGCATCCATAATAGTTTTGTTCATAACATTGATGTAATTATTGTATAGATATTTGGATGGACGCATTGAAAGAATGTTGAGAGGAAGAGAATTTCGGCGGTGTTAACACGCATGTAGAGAAGGTCGATAGGTATAGAATTTTAATGTGCTCAATACACATTCATGCAAGTTTCAAGATGCTAAATGTAACCCATTCACTTAAATTTTAGGGTAAACTGCACAAATGGGCCCCAACTATAAGATACTACTTTATTGAGTCCATGGACTATTAAAAGTTATAAATGGTCACCTAACTATTCATTATGCTCCAAACTCGTCCTTTTTCGTTAAAAATTAACAGTCATTTGAGCTGGGATTATATTTTATCATATTTCAGTTAGCGGGTTAACGTCTAACTTAGGCTGCTATTAATTTTTTAATAGAGAATGACGAGTTTGGAACATAATGAATAGTCGGATGTTCATTTTGTAACTTTTCATAGTCGAAAGACTCAACAAAACAATAGCATATGGTCAGTGAACCATTTGTGTATTTATCCTAAATTTAAAGTAGTAATTAAACTAGATTTTTATAATTCTAGTGATTAAAGATTATTTGATGATTAAGCTTATTTCAGTTAAAATTCTTATGGAATAAGGATTCTTGTTGACCAAATTTGTTTTCTCTTGAATATAGAGGTCATCTTAATCTTTAGAACTGTGAGATATGATTATTTTGAAGAGAAATAATCCTTTTGTATTTTTGTAACTATTAGAGTATATGTTGCAATGTAACATCCCTAAAATTGTTTTAGTATTTTTAACTTACGATGATCAAATAATATTTTCTGGTGTTCATTTGAATTTGGGAATCATTAGATTAGGTTGGGGATTAAATTTGATTATTTTAAAGTGGAAAGGAATCAAACTTAATTTTGATGAAATACTAAATTGTGAATCTTGAGAAATTAAAAGTTGGGGTAAAGGGAACCAAGTTCTAACTTTTGCATGACAATTAGACCATTTTCCTTTCGAATGACCAGTCAATAACATACGTGTCTTATAAATAAAATTTAGCTTAATTTCTTAAATTAAGAAAATTGTTGTAATTGATGAGTTTGAGAGGGTAATTTTACGGTTTGGGCAAGAGAAAAGAGGAAAAACAATGGGTGGTCTTCTTCAACCTTACCCGTCACCGTTGCCGTATCCCTTCAGCCCAAATTATTGCAATTCTTTGATATTTGAATTTTATTCGTCCAAACTCAATTTCAAGCTCAAAATTGTGTAGTTTATTTTGATGATCCAAACTCTAAATTGAGAGCTTACTGATTTAGGATCTTCTAAGTTAAATTGAGATTCATATATGTGTTCAAAGGGTTTATAATCTATTAGAGTTTTATCTTGATTTTTGGTCGAGGAAAAGATTAATCCCTGAACACTTTTCATTTTAGGGTTACATGTCATTTAAAGTTATTTGTGATATTGTTGAAGAATCGGGCAAAGATAACGAAAGAACACAAGAATTTTTAACGAGGTTCGGTAATGTGCTTACGTCCTCGGTGCTTAGGCGGCGCTAGAAGTTTTATTTAATGTCTCAGAGGTTTAGGTTACATCTCTATTTATAATAAAAAACCTGGTACATAATTACATAATTAACCTTGTACTTTACCATGGGGTTGCGCCCCCGCACCCCCAACCCACATAATCGTAAACCATTCTACGAGACTTTCTTTGTAAGAACAGTTGATGTTCGCTTCGCTCACTCCGCTCCATCCCCTATTCTCTTTACCGGTATATTTATGAGCCATACTAACAGATATGTTAAATTATGGTATGAATTGATGAATAATATAATATTGTATTTCTAGATGGGGATACAATTGAATCAATTCCTAACCTTTGAAAGTGCTATAATGATTTGAGATATTTCGTATTTTTAGATATTCGGTGAGTGTAGTCGTTCTCAAGTCTGTTATGAATTATATTAATTGATCCATATTCTAATGTTACATGCTGCCCTAAGATTAAATTCATGTTTTGGCTCAATTAGAGCAATATTGGATGGCAAATAAATGTTTGGTAAGCTTAATTATGTTATAAGGTTACAATGATGCGGTTGTGTATTGTTGTGGTATACGTGAAAATATGCATATTATGTACTTGGTTATTAGCATGTTAAGGCTTTAGGGCACTCTAAAATAAATGTTTAATGCTTCTGATATGTAAGTATGCTAAAATAGAGTTCGATATAATTTGAAATAAACATGAAGCTTAAGGCTTGAATATGTTATACTTTGGTCTTTGTTATCAAATTATGTTAGTAACATGTTTACTATGCAAATTAACAAGTGTAAATAAGTTTAATCATGTTAATATATTGTTTGGACATTAAGTCGAGTGTCAAATGCATGTGACGTGTCATATAATCCATTGAGCTCATGTATGGGTTTGTGTAAGACTTTGATCTTTTGACAATGTTGAAGGTATGTGTGTAGTCCGGTCTTTGACGATGTTAGAGGGTACAACCATTGTTAGAAGACAAACGTGGCAATATGGGGATCATATGTGCATGTCGGCAAAAAGAATTACAAAACAACAAAAGAGTTTGAAAAGTCAAATAAAAAAATGAAGCTTCTTGAATTATTTAGAAATTATAATATGAATAGATAACAACAAAACATGGCAGTAGTTGGCAAGCTTGAATTACACGACAAACATAAAGCAAATCATGACATGAGGCGGCAAGAGGAATTGAGAAGCATCCAGAGCAAGTCTTAGTCGTTTATTACTCCTATATATGTGAGCAAAGCAAGCATGTGAGTAGTGAGAAAAAGAAAAACATATGAGAGAAAAATAGAGAGAATTGAGAGAGCTTAGCAAAGCTTAAAATAGTGAGGTTGCGTTTGTAAACTAACCGCAGTAGTATTGCAGTATTGTAATATTAAGGTAGTGTCATTGTAAAATATTTTATTTCGTATAAAAAAAAAGTTCGAGTTATAAATTATCGTGAGCCCATCCACGCTTCCAACAAGTGGCCTCAGAGCTTGGTTCGAGTTCAACGTTGTGGAGAAGATGGCCAACATGATTCAACCTCAAATCCTGAGATTAACAAAGACAAATTACGGAAATTGGAGCATTCAAATGAAGGCGTTACTAGGCTCCCAAGATTGTTGGGATATCATCGAGGATGGTTACACCGAGCCTGAAAATGCAGCAGTAGAAGCAGCTCTGGCCAATGAAGAAAAGAAGGTATTGAAGGAATCCATGAAAAAAGACAAAAGAGCGTTGTTCTTTATTTTTCAAGGAGTAGACGAATCTACCTTTGAAAAAATTTCTGATGCGAAGACCGCAAAACAAGCGTGGGAGATTTTGCAAAAATCTCTGCAAGGTGCCGAAAAAGCAAAAAAGGTACGCTTACAAACTCTCCGAGCTGAGTTTGAGATGTTAAAAATGAAAAATACAGAAAACATCGATGATTATATTAGCCGTGTGAAATCAGTCGTAAATGAAATGAAAAGAAATGGCTAATCACTCGATGATGTTAGAGTGATGGAAAAAATTTTGCGGTCATTGACAAGAAAATTCGATTACGTGGTTGTGGCAATCGAAAAATCAAAAGATTTATCCCAAGTTTCGATTGATGAGCTTGTGGGTTCACTTTAAGCCCATGAGCAGAAAATAAAACAAAATGAATATTCAGAAAATTTGGAGCAAGCTCTACAAAGCAAGATGAATGTCAACGAAGGAGAAGCTAGCAGCAGCTACACACGAGGTCGAGGAAATCGTGGTGGTTATCATGGAAGATACAGAGGAGGACGAGGAACTCGTGGACGTGGTGGTCGATATGGCACCAATAAAATAAGTGGAAACAATCCAACATCAGGTCGTGTACGAGGATTCCGAGGCAAAGGTAGGGGAAGATATCAACAATAAAATAAATCCCAGGTACAATGTTATAATTGCAATAAGTATGGTCATTATAGTTATGAGTGTAGATCTGCTCCTAAACAAGAAGAAAGAAATAACGTAGAAGAATAAAAAATTGAAAAATCTCATGTATTCCTCACTTATAAAGGAAATGAGGAATTCAAGAAAATATTTGGTATCTTGATAATTGTGCCAGCAATATATGTGGTCAAAGGGAACTGTTTGTGAAATTAGATGAAATAGTTCATGGGCGAGTAACGTTCGGAGATGACTCACATGCAGAAATAAAAGGAAATGCGAAGTCATGATTACTCAGAGAAATGGAGAAAAGAAATACATTTCAGATGTTTATTATGTACCTGCTTTGAAAAGCAATATCATCAGTCTTGGTCAACTCCTGGAAAAAGGATATGAAGTGCAGATGAAGAACCGCTCGCTTGTCATCAAAAATAAAGAAAGAGAATTTATAGCCCAAGTTGATATGACTCGAAATCGTCTCTTTACAATTGATATCGAGTCGAGAGAAGTCAAGTGCATGAAGACCGCAATCAAAGATGATTCATGGCTGTGACATCTAAGATATGGACATCTTGGATTTTCTGGTTTGAAGCTGTTATAAAAAACAAACATGGTGAAAGGACTACCAGAGATCAACCCTCCAAATCAATTATGTGAGGCTTGCATCAAAGGAAAGCAACATAAACAAAGCTTTGAAGTTGGTAGATCCTGGCGTGCCCGAAGACCGCTGGAGATAGTACACATATATAGCCGGTCTTTTTGACATATTATCGCTTGGCGGTAACAGGTACTACCTAACTTTTATTGATGATTTTAGTAGGAAATGTTGGATTTACATCTTGAAAGAAAAGTCAGAAGCGCTGGAAAAATTAAAAGAATTCAAAGCAATGGCAGAAAAACAAAGCGGTCAATATTTGAAGATACTCAGATCAGATAGAGGAGGCGAATATACATCAAAGTTATTTGAAGAATTCTGCAAAGAGCATGGCATCATCCATCAGCTAACAGCCATATACACGCCACAACAAAATGGAGTTGCAGAAAGAAAGAACCATACAATCCTGGACATGGCAAGAAGCATGATAAAAGGCAAGCAACTACCGAGAAATTTCTGGGCTGAAGCAGTTTATGTGCAGTTTACCTATTGAACAATGTCCAACAAAAAACGTGAAGTATATGACCCCAAACAAAGCATGGAATGGACAGAAACCAGGAGTTGGACACCTCAAGATTTTTGGATGCATCGTAGATGCCCACGTTCCTGAACATACCAGAAAGAAGCTTGATGACAGAGGAGAAAAATGTATTTTCATTGGCTATGATGAAAGAAGCAAAGCTTACAGATTATAATCCTCTTACAAAGAAGATAATAATTTAAAGAGATGTCGAGTTCGATGAAGCAGACTATTGGAGATGGAGCAAAGAGGAAAAAAAGTTGAAGGACTGTTTTTTAAAGATGATGATCTTATCAATCAAGATGAACAAGCTGATGATCAAAGTCCTCAACAAAATGTACCATCGTCATCAAGCAGCAGCAACGATGCCAGCAACATAATAGAAGATCCTGAAGTACCTCCCAAGAAGTTCGAAGATCCACAAGAGAGAGAAGAATGCCAGAAAGGTACAACGATTATGAACTAAATAATGTTTCACTTTTCTGCTTACTTGTGAACAGTGATCCAATAAAATGAAGAAGCGATTGAATATGACAAATGGATGAATGCAATGGATGAAGAAATTGCATCAATAGAAAGAAATGATACATGGGAGCTAACAAGACAACTAGAAGGCCATAACCTAATTGGAGTAAAATGGGTTTACAAGACAAAGACCAATAAAGAAGGAAAGATCGAGAAGCACAAAGCGAGGCTAGTTGTCAAAGGCTATAAGCAAAGACAAGGAATAGACTTTGATGAAGTATTTGCTCCAGTAGCAAGGATCGAGACCATCAGACTTCTCACAGCAGTCGTAGCACAAAAAGGATGGAAAATTTATCAAATGGATGTGAAATCAACATTTCTAAATGGCTACCTAGAAGAAGAAGTTTATATTGAGTAACCACCTGGATACATTAAAAAGGGACATGACAAGTTTACCGATTGAAGAAATCACTATATGGTCTGAAGCAAGCCCCGAGAGCATGGAACACGAGAATTGATGAATATTTCCAGAGAAACGGGTTCATGAAGAGTCCATACGAGCATGCCTTATACACAAGAAAATAAATACGGTGATATCATGATCGTGTGCTTATATGTGGACGACATGATTTTCACAGGAAATAATCCAGGTATGTTCAATGATTTTAAGAAAGCTATGACTAAAGAATTTGAAATGACAAATATTGGAGAAATGTCATACTTTCTTGGAGTTGAAGTGAAGCAAATGCAAGAAGGAATATTTATATCACAAAAGAAGTATACAGAAGAAATTTTAAGAAAATTCAGAATGGAAGATTGCAAGCCGGTAGCCACTCCAACAGAACCAAGAGTCAAATTAAGTGTGAATTCAACAAGAGCAATTGAATCCAACGTTGTTTAAAAGCATCGTTGGAAGTCTAAGGTATCTGACTATCACACGACAAGACATAACATACGCTGGGGATTGGTAAGCAGATTCATGGAGAATCCGAAACAAGATCATTGGATTGCAGCAAAAAGAATCTTCAGATATGTCAAAGGTACAACAGGTCATGGTTTATTCTACACGCATTCAAAAATTCGAAGCTGGTTGGTATTCTGATAGTGATTATGGGGAGACTTAGAAGATCAAAAAGCACAATTGGATATCTCTTTCATATCGGCTCTGCAGTTTTCATGGTCATCAAAGAAGCAACAAACGGTAGCTCTTTCAACATGTGAAGCAGAATACATAGCCAGCAAATGCACTTGTCAAGCAATGTGGTTAAAGAAATTTTGAACGAGCTAAATGTGGCACAAGAAGAACCAATTACAATCTATGTCGACAATAAGTCTACAATTTCTCTTGCCAAGAATCCAGTCTCTCATAGCCGAAGCAAGCATATTGATACAAAATATCACTTTATACGAGCAAGTGAAGAACAAAAATATGGAGCTAATTTACTGCAGAACTGAAGATCAATAGCAGACATTTTCACAAAGCCATTGAGAACAGATATATTCAACCGACTCAAAGAAAAGCTTGGAATGGAAAATCGAGCTGAGGGGGGGGTTAGAAGACAAACTCAATAAGAAGACAAACGTGGCAATATGGGGATCATATGTGCATGTCGGCAAGAAGAATTACAAAACAACAAAAGAGTTTGAAAAGTCAAATAAAAAATGAAGCTTCTTGAATTATTTAGAAATTATAATATGAATAGATAACAACAAAAAACATGGCAGTAGTTGGCAAGCGTGAATTACACGACAAACATAAAGCAAATCATGACATGAGGCGGCAAGAGGAATTGAGAAGCATCCAGAGCAAGTCTTAGTCGGTTTATTACTCTATATATGTGAGCAAAGCAAGCATGCGAGTAGTGAGAAAAAGAAAAACATACGAGAGAAAAATATAGAGAATTGAGAGAGCTTAGCAAAACTTAAAATAGTGAGGTTGCATTTGTAAACTAGCCGCAGCTATTGCAGTATTGTAATATTAAGGTAGTGTCATTGTAAATATTTTATTTCGTATAAATAAAAAGTTCGAGTTATAAATTATCGTGAGCCCATCCACTCTTCCAACAACCATTATAAGTTTTCAACTTGATGATATATAAGTATTCAAGTATACGTAGTCACTTATGTTCATTGGGCTAAATGTTAAAATGAATTATACTACATTTCTTATGAATAAGAAAGATGATCTATGATTCATGTGATTAAGTATCGATTATGTGTTTGTTAGATTTGTTTCCATCCTTAGTGATTAATCATTGTTTTGGACTATCTCATTAAGTTATATGTGCTTACTCCGATTATTTAACGCCTTTGTAGGAAGTCGACTCTCGTAGACATTTTGAGATTGTAATTTAGGAGTTGCAAGTCATTCCTGAGATAATAAGTGTAAATGTTTTTTCAAAAAACTCTTAAATGATAACCCATGTGTTTTGATTAATTAACTTTTAAATATACTAAATTATGTTTTGTAAGTAAGTATGATATTTACTATGTTTCATAGTAATGCATTGATGATACTTAAAGTTCATATCTTATAAGAGTAGTGCTTATATTGATGTTCACTAAAAGGTATGAAAGATTAGGTGTACTTAGATGTTGATTTAGAATGATGTTTGAGAATTAAGTTATGAGTAGTTTTTAATGTTTCATGTATTTGGATGTATTATGGGTGATTTTGGTGTCTTAGTGTATAATTGAGATGATATGAATCATCATATGTTGTATATGGTTTAAATAAAGTTTGAATGAATTTTAAACTTGTTTAAGAGCTAAATTTTAATATTTCGTATCGGTATTGGCCAAAGAACATCCTTATAATGAATTAAAGATTAAACTTCAATATACTAATTTAGTATCGATATTAGGATTGAGTATTGATGTTGAACTTATGATATCGACACTAACTCCTAGTATCTATACTAAATCAAGGCTCAATGCTTTTTATCACTTCAAAGTATCGATACAAGTAATTGAATGATAAATATTTATGAGTAAGTATAAATATTCATTCAAGAAATGACCATCCAGCTTAGTTGGTAGAGCACAAGACTTTTAACCTTGGGGTCGTGGGATCGAGTCCCACGGAGGGTATTTCATAATTTGGAGTCTCCTACGGAAGCTCTCTCAACCTGGCGTTGGGGGCCAGTCTACTATCATACCTCCCCCTTATCCCATACATATGGAATAAGGGTCAGTTAATTTTATAAATATTCATTCAACAATATTGATACTAAAAGCTCAAAATATAAATAATACCTTAATATGTATTACACCTCTTAAAAAGAATAAGCTTTTTTTTTTTTTTTTGGTTAAGAAAAACAGATAATTAATATTATGGGTTTGGCCGACCAAATATAAGAAATGGGTAATTTAATAATTGGTATTGATGACCCTTTACAAGGAGAATGATAAAACATAATCATACTCTTATTTGACCCATTTCGTGTAATAATATCGACGCTACATGGAAAGGTACGTTGACATCAACTCCCCCTTCAAGGCTGCAATTTTTCATGGGTAAATTGACTATTTGGTCACCCATCTATTACTTAATTTCTATTTTCAGTTATTCAATTATATTTATTTTTAAAATTATATTAACGTTAAGTTTTGTTTCTATTTTGATCACCTTCCCTTTTAAAAAAATTAATGATGATTGACGTATTATTATAAGATAATGACATGTTAACATTAAAAAATAGAAAAATATATCGTATCATCGTTAAATTTCTTAACGACTTGTGACCCAAATAGAAATAAATTAAACTTGATATGATTTTTAAAAGAAATAATTAAAGGATCAAAATAAACAAGTAATAGCTGTGTGATCAAATAGGTAGTTTACCCTTTTTTGATAAACATGAAACACGAAGTAATATATAAATATAAGATAAAAATGACAAAATAATAAATCAGTATTATAGCCTTGTTTTATATAGCATAAATTATACAAAATTTGAGAGCTGACATAATAAATCTAGAAAATCCAATAATCTTTGGACAAATAAAAGTTGGAAAAATAATTATTGTTGGCAGCCGCCAGAAGTTTTTCTACCACATATAACATGGTGATTGGAGAACTATAAAAGTGCATTAAGTTATTATGTAATTTGTAAATATGACAAGTTTGTGGATAAGTTCGACAATTTTGTATATTTTTATAGGCTACAGAATAGACGTGTGGCATATGCTCGCAATTATTGATAGTGGGGCATAATAATCAAATACTTTTCATTATGATATGTAATATTAAAACTTAATTGATGGAGGTAAGTGAGTAAAATAATAATAAAACTTTAACACAAATTATTCTAAAAATCATTTACATATATAATATTTTAAAGATAATTATAATGTATAGAATAGTTTAAATACTTTATAAACGAAGTGTAATAAATGGTACCCAACTAATTAACGAAAAAATAATTGGGTCCTTTCCCTTTCTTTGTTGTTCTTGAAGATCATTAAAAATGTTGATATGATCCTTCACAGCCTTAATTTGGTTTTTTAATTTTAATATCAATGCATGCATTAATATTTGATCTACTTAAGCCATACCATGTACGTAATGGGTTGGTGTTGTGCTAAATATATATAAATATTGTTTTAGGAATTTCTAAGTGGAAAGGAAATAAGTGAGATCAATATAAAATAGGTTGTATACAAGAGATTAGATTTAACGTGATTTAATCCTTCTATCTCCACATATAAAAGTAATATATTTTATTATAAATATATGATCATGAAGAATATAAATACATGCTATTTTATGTATCTT